GCCATTGTTTTTAAATGATTTATTAGTTATTATATCTCCAAATAATAACTAAACATCCTATTAAAGAATTTAATGATTTTATACTCTCTTAAAGCATCTTCACTAAGTCTTTTATGATTACAGTAAGTATATTTAGTATTTAATATTATATTAAAATATAGATTATCAAATTAGTGTTAAATATTTCTTTTATTGGATGAAAATATTAAGCAATCTATTTATTATAAAGCACAATAATTTGANTAATTTTATAATAAAAAACATTTGTTTTTTTAAATATATTCATCTCATAACATTAAAAAAATACATCTTGAAATTAAGTTTTTGAATCTATTAATTCAATTTAATAATAATTCATTAAAATCAACAAAAAAGATTGATAAAAATTTTTTTAGAATGTCTTTGGTTTTAATCTTCATTTTACAATTTAATATAGCTTTCCTTAATTTCAGGACTTTATTTTAAAACAAATTATATTTTCTTTCTCACTTTTTAGTGATTTAATATTAGATTTTAAATTATATTGTTCTGTATTTTTCATATCAATTTTTTCAACTATATAAATTTATCATTTTTTTTTTAAATCTCAGTTTTATTTCACCATGATCTATATCTGAATTTACATAATATTTTAGGTTTTCATTGTTTGCTACATGATTTTTTTATTTATCTACATATATTATGGGTATTTATTGTAAAAAATATTATTATAACAATAATCAGTTTACTAGAATTTCTTAAATAGTTTGGAGAAATCATGAATTTAATATAAGTATAAAAATGAGAAATTAATTAAAAAAATACTCAAATTTACGAAACATTGAAAATCGCTTTAAAAATGAAATATAAAGAATAATTATTTCAATATATAAAATAAATTATATTAATCATGAATGATAAAACATTGTAAATGAATTACAAAATGTTCTATTTAAGGCGAATCTGAGTATTATAATAAATTTATGAATGAGTGTGGATGATTATATCATTTAAAAAAAGTATTAAAGTTTCTTTAGTGAGTTTTACTCATTTTGCTATATTTTCCTTAAAATTTGGACACTTGGGTTGATAATGAAAAGAATATCATTATTGATTTGAATATTCTCATTTGATTATATCATTCATATACATATTCATACTCATGCTCTCCTTATTTTTCTTGAGTATATTATAACTCCTACTCTGCTATACTGTTTTCAAAATATTTTTAAATTATTAACTAGCTTAAGCAAATTATTATGTAAATTAATCACCTTCTGCTTAAGCCATTTAATTTTAATAATTTAGGATTGCTTGATTGCTAAGTATTTAATTTTAAAATGATAATTATAAGAATTAGCTCAAATGATTATATTAATTTTATTTACAAAATATTTCTATTTATTTAATATGATTTTTTCTTCTTGTATGTCACTTGCCATTGTTTTTAAATGATTTATTAGTTATTATATCTCCAAATAATAACTAAACATCCTATTAAAGAATTTAATGATTTTATACTCTCTTAAAGCATCTTCACTAAGTCTTTTATGATTACAGTAAGTATATTTAGTATTTAATATTATATTAAAATATAGATTATCAAATTAGTGTTAAATATTTCTTTTATTGGATGAAAATATTAAGCAATCTATTTATTATAAAGCACAATAATTTGACCAATATCATTCTTAGATAACCAATTAATTTTATGTTCAATAATTCAATCATCTAGAAAAGGGAATAAACCCTAAATCAAAATGCTGTTAATATTTTTGGTTGATTGTTTGTTTAATGATTATATTAATTATCATTACTATTAGCAAGAATAACAGAGTAAAACTAAGATATTATTTATTTACTAATAAGAATAATTATTGATTTATATTATTAAATAGATGAGTAAACAAGAAGAGGACTCAAAATTACAATTAATAGAATCAGCATTTGAATGCAATATATGTTTAGAAATAGCAACTGAACCAATTCTAACAAATTGTGGACATCTATTTTGTTGGCCTTGTATATATAGTGTATTTATAATATTAATAATGTAATTAGTGGCTTAATTCAAATCAAGAGTTTCTAACTTGTCCTGTTTGCAAGAATGGTTGTTCTAAGAATTCTTTAATTCCTTTATATTCTAAGGATGAAACTAAAACTAAGTATTTTCTATTAATTAAACTAGCAAACCACGTGATCCTAACATTCCTCCAAGACCTAAACCAGGTAGAAATGATCCTATTAGAAATACCAATCAGGTAGGCTAAAATAACTTAGCTAATGGTGCCATGATTGCGGGTTATGGATTATTTCCATCTCTTTTTAATCTAATTTGTATTAAAGATGGCGATATAGAAAAAGATGAAAGGCATGAGAGTAACTAATATTTATGATCTATTATAGATGAAGCAACTGTTGAAATAGAAAATGTAAGAAAACTCAAGGCTATACTATTTTTGTTAATATTATGCTTAATATTGATGATTGTGTTCTACTTTTGATCAATTAAATCTATTAATAAAATTCAATATTTAATAACTATCTCTTCTTAAGCTTTAATAATTTTCTATTGTTAACTAAAGTGATTAATAACTTAATATTTAATTTTTATGATAAAGGTATCTATTTCCATTTAAACTATTAAAATACAAAACTATCAATTTTTGATTAAAACATTTAGATGTAAATAATTGAATATCCTTTAATCTCAACTATATTTATTATATCATAATTTAATTTTATTTAAAGAATCAAAAAGTAATTTACTCTGTATAAGAACTGTCTCTACATTTTTTTTAGATATGACACATTATTAATATTTTATAATAAACTAATATTTGTTAACAACATTACAAAACATATACATATATACTATTATTAAAATGATTATATATTGATCAAAAATAAGCATTGTAGTTGCTTCTTCTAGATTAACTTGATTAAGAATCTCTTTTACAAAATCTATATATGTAATCGTTTTTTAAAGGGTTTTCTCTTTGAGAGAATACAACTATAGTTTTTTTTTCTTTATCTAATTTTGTATTAATTTGATCATAAATGAGGTTTTTGTCATAAAAAGGTGAAATTCTTCTACTTACTGATATAGATCGATTATTGTTAATGGGTTTAGCATTTAATTTGACTTTGTTTTAAGGTACACTCCTATTGTTGCCAGTATTTATGCTTTAAATTTAATCTTTATGCTCTTAAGGTGATTTACGAATGATAAAAGGAAAAATGGATTCCTTTTCAATTGATTCACTAAAGGACAATTCTTATTCCTAGATTTTTGAATTCTAAACTCTTTTCTTTATTCTATAATAAATATTAATCTATTGGTTATTTTCCATCAACTTTCTTTATCGAAGTTGATATAATAATTGCATTCTACAATAATTTTCACACATATAATATTATGTTTTTTCTTGATCAATTTTATTAGTATAATAAATAATTATCTCTTAAAATGATGTGGATTAAACAGATTAATTTTACTCTCAGAATTATAATGTATAATTATTTTATTCTTATAAATAAATTACAATAAGTAAATATAATTAGAATTTTAATTTATTAGATCATTTAATGTATACATTTTCTTTTTTAAATAATAATCATTAAATTGAAGCATTTTATATTAAACTTTTTTGAGAAATCTCATTATCATCAAAAAATCTGGATAAATTTTTCAATTATGCAAAGGTTTCTAAATTATTTTATAGATTGATCAAAGCCTTTGTAAGACTCTCATTTTTATATTCTAATTGTTACTAAGGTTTATTAATAATTTTACATTCTTTTATTTTTAATACTATATCTAAATTTCTCCTTCTTAATAGACTCTTTTCACTAACTATCTAAGATCCTAAATCTAAAAATATTACAATTTATTTACTTCATTTATTAATTCCTGTTGTTTATTTTCTATTATATTCAACTAAGATTAAAGCTCTATATTTTCACTTTTTAATTTTGTGTTTTCTATTTACAGCTATTTTTCCTTTTATTAAAATTAAATTGGCATACTAGATAATGCTTAGAGAATCAATTAATGCTGCTAAAATTAAGATATAACTTACATTAGCTAAGGATAATTCCTCATTACAATTGGAAGTATCATGATTATAGGCATATGTTAACATAATTAAAATATTATTAAAAATTAATAATAATTATATGAATAATTTATCGTAAATTATCTTATTTCTTAAAACCTTCTGATTACTTTTTGACCGAAATTCAAATTAATTATGATATTTTCCTATTTTACTATATACCTTTACTATTAATTTATGTAGATTATCAATGTTGATTAATTTTATTTACTGCAATTTATTTTGACTAAAATATAAAATCAAAATAAGAATTTTGATTTTATATTTACCTATAACATAATCCCTTTTATATCTCATTAATAATTTTTTTAGTTCTTTAAGGTTGATAAAATAAGACTAAGAAAGTTCTTAAAATTATTAATAGTTATATAAAATTCATTTTTATAGAGATATTTATAAATCAAAATTCTACTGCTTTAAATTTTTTGCTCAATAGAGATAGTTAAAAAAACTTGATATTTCTTAGAATGAGATTGCTGTGTAAAATAGAACATTTTTCTATTTCTTGCTAAATAATTATCTCTTTGATTATTGAAATCATTGTCTTTGAGAATCTCATTTAATCAATAATAACTGATTTTAATTATTCATCAAGATAATAATGTATATGACTTTTTCTTTTTAAAAAAATCAATGGAAAACTAAATATTCTCAAGAATGAATATTAATTATTAATTAAATTTGACGGCTGAGCCATTCTTTAAGCAAATTGAGGCTAATGAAATACAATATCATTTAAAATTCATATTATTTTTCAGTTGAATGATGTTCTAAAATTTTTTAGATATAAGTTGATCTTTGGAACTGAGTGTTCTAATTAAGATAGAAGTAATAACAAGTTAATTATTAAATATATATAAGAATTAAACATTATATCAAAAAGGTTCTTTAACTTAAAGTATTTCACTTCTTAGGTGATTTTGTTATTAGTAAGGTAAAACCTTACTTCTGAGAAATGAATTTGGTATCTGGACTTGTATGGCAGTATTTGAAACTTTTAAATGAACTCTATCGAGGACTAATACTTGGAAGATTCTATATCAGTTTATCAACAGATCGACTTTCCTTAAAATTAGAGCCTGTTCTAAATCTAAAATATATATTTTATTACCTTTAGCTTGAGAGATCATAGGTATTGTGAAATATATTCGAGTTATTAAAGAAATTTTAAGTTTAATACAATGACATTGCTTCATCATTAATGTCTTAAGTCTATTGCTAACATAAATATAGAAATTTTATTACTATCTCTAATTTTGTCCTTCTTATTACCTAGATTCCATCATCAATTTTCTTTTTTCTTTTGTTGCAGCAAAGCATGTATTTATTATAAAATTTGTTTAAAAAATAATTATATTTTCTTATATAATAATACTGTAAATTAATCAATTTGAATGCAAATTACAAAAATGATTTTGAAAAATAAAAAATATATTAATCCATTGAAAATTCTAAGTAGGAAATTATCCACCTATAATTTATTGCTAAAAGATAGAATTAAATTTTATTTAACTTAAATAATACTGCTTTTATTTTAATTTATATGTTAATTGAACTTTTTTCTAAAGCCTATATTAGTTTGTAGATGAGATACATTTATTATTAAATAGTTAAAAAAACTAACAATAATCATAATTTAAATAATTTGATTTAGATCTCTTTATTGAAAAGAGTTTTAAATTGTTTCAATGAATGATTTATTAAATATATCTATAGGAAATTTGGAAATGTATTAATATTTATTTAAGTTTTATGTTATTTCTATTATTAATTTAACAAGTTAAAATTTGAGTATTTAATCTAAAAGGAAATATTGTATATTTTGTATAGAAATATGAAAAACAATTACTTTATTACATTACTAATTTCCAAATTATTTTTTATCAGACATCTATTTAGTGATAATATCAAGCAAGTAATCAATAATACAAAAATATCTTGTTTAGTTGAATATGGTAAATTTTCAAATATTTAAATTGATTGGATTACAATTAGCACTTCTTTTATAAATATTTATTAATCTAGGAAAAACGATTTGAAAGAATATTAAGAATTTTGCTAATAAGATTTTCTTTGAAAATAAATTAAAACCGTTAGTCAAAAATCTATTGAAAAAAGCCTTTAATAACTTAAATAATGAAAAATCATAAAAATTTTAATATATATATTCCTTTATAAATGTTATTAATTAATCTTATTAGATATTCTAGAATAAAGATTTATAATTTTAAATTATGAATAATATCACATTTTCATTAAAATCAATATCTAAAAACTTTGTAATTAAATAGGTTTAGGAATAATAATGATTTGTTTAATATGACAGTATTTAATATGATTAGAATAAATATAAATTTATTGATAAATTGTGTTGTAAAACTAACTTTTTAATTAATTTCAATATAAATTTTATATATATTTCATTACGAATATTGGAATGGGTACATGTGGAAGTAAGCCCAAAAAAGTAAATTTATATCATATACCACGATAATTAGAGGAAAAATGTAAATTAATTGAATATTTTAAGTTCTTCCAAAAGAAATTGATTTATTGTTCTTAATATATAGTGATCTAAATTCTCGAAATGTAGAAAATTTAGTTAATAAAACAGCCTTTACAGATTTTTTCACAATGATTGGGTTATGGGGTGATTTAGTTTTTGATTATTTTAATAAAGATGATGAAAATGAAAATCTGATAAATTTTGAATAGTTTTTAAGAGGTGTAGCCTATTTTATAAAATGTGATGAGGAGTAAAAAATTGATCATCTATTTAAATTATATGATTTGGAAAATATTGGAATAATAAAAAAAGCTGAGTTCTTGTAAATGGTAATTTAGTTTCTATTTAAAGCTTTAAAATTATCCAAGAGAGGATTTAATCAGATTATTAGATGATCCTATGTTTTTGGAAGATCTTAAGATACTAAAGTATTATGAGAAAAAAGAGAAAATAAATTAAAAAAAAGCTTAACCATTAAGAGCTGATGAGTAAGAATTCACTGAGTCAAGTAATTAATACATTAATTATTAGTTCATGCATTATAAAGAAGAGGATCTTAATAAAGTTGTGAAATAAAATCACTTTCTAGACAATAATCAGTTGAATGTTAATCAATATAATCTAGTCTTCCTAATTTTAATGAATAAAGTGTAGTTATGATGTTTCCAAATGAAAGTTTAGTTGGACCTAATGGAGTTCCAATGGGGTAATTTGGTTAAAATATTTCATTTTAAATAAATGGGAAATTAGTAGAATTAAAAAGAGTAAATATCAATTATTTAGTACGTAAATATGTAGATATGATATACAAAAATAAAGGAAAATAAGAAGAAGAGTAATATAATTTAATTATTTAGATTATCAATTGAAGAATTTAAATAGTTTGTTAAATTGCATCCAAAAATATTTGATGGACTATATAAAGCATTTAATTATGATATTTGGGGGGTTAATAGCACTACTTTGGTACCTTTGTTTGTTACAGTTCAAAAAGATTTAGAAGGACAATTAAAAAAAGTCAGTCGAAAAAACCCAAAGTTAATGAAAGATAGATACTTTAAGCTTATATAAAGATTTTGTCTATCTTATAAAAAGGTTGATTAATTAATTCCTTCAAGTAAAAATAGAGTATTATTCTTAATTTAGAAATATTTTGTTTAGATGGTTTGACAATACAAGAAATTGTAAATAGTCAAGAATAAACATATGGATTTGAAATTTCACATAAAGATAAAGTATATCCTTAAAGGATATATTATTGTAAAGACTTTGAGGAATTTAAGAAATGGACTAATAGTTTATAAATGTTTTAAAAGTATTTCATTTACTAAAATAGAGCTTCAGTGAATGATTATTACTCTATATTATAAAAGATAGGAGAAGGCAAATTTTCTATTGTATATCTTTGTGAAGACAAAAAGACAAAATAATAATTAGCTATGAAAATAATTGAAAAATTTAAATTATCAAAATAAGAAAAATTGATGTTAGCGTATAATTCTAAATTTTATTATAAATAGACATGAAGTAGAAATAATGAAATTATTGAATCATTCATGTATTATCAGATTTGTTGAGATAATAGAAACTAAAACTCATTTAAATATCATTACAGAAGTAGTTAGAGATGGAGATTTATTTGATTATATTACAAATAATGAGAATTTGAATGAGTAGGAAGCATCTTTGATTATGAGTTAATTATTTGATACAATTAATTATGTTCATAGTGTTGGAATAGTTCATAGAGATTTAAAACCTGAAAATATTATGATTGTACTTGATTAAACTACAAAAACTGTTAAATAAGTAAAGATTATAGATTTTGGATTTGCAAATTTTTTAACTAATATTTAGAATAAAGAAGGTGAAGCTTTATGTGGCACAACTAATTATTTAGCACCAGAAACGTTATCATAAAAAAAAATTGATTTCAAAGTTGATAACTTTGCTTTGGGTGTTATTCTTTATTTTTTATTATCTGGTATAATAATCTATAATTTATTTAAGGATTTTTACCTTTTGATGCTTCATTTCCTGAAGATATTATTAAAAATATTTTGGACAGCAATTATGATTTAAGTGATAGTTTTTGGTAATAGATATCAGATGATGCAAAAGATTTAATTACAAAATTATTAAATAAAGATCCTGATGAAAGAATATCTTTAGATGAAGCATTAAAACATCCATGGATCAAAGTACTGGATTATGTTGATTAATATAGAATCGTTCAACGTTGTAAACTAAAAAGGTATAAAGACACAAATAAAGATTGGGATTGTTTTGATAGCCGTCATGAATTATACAGATCTAATCAATATTAATAAATTAGAAATTTTTCAATTTATTTTTTTCTACATATAATATATATATCATTTATTAATTTAGAATAGACTGGAAGAGCTATTCATAGTCCAACTATTGAGAGAACTTCTTGATTAATTAATGTCTATACTCTTATGAATTTTAGGTAGACGTATATGAATTTTTGATTAAATTTTTCTTTCAGTTTCTATTTATGAGTTGCAAAATTAGAGTATATCTTTACATTATTATCTTTTAGATTAATTATTGTCTTGTTTATGACTTTTATTGGTAGAAGGATGAACAAGTGGTTATAGAAATTATAGTTTAGCATTGAAATCTAATTCTTGCAATACTTTATAATCTATGTTTTATTTGAGTTTGATTTTTTTCAAGGCCTTTTTTTAAACATTAATTTTAGTTAAGAAGAGAGCATGTTTATTCTAATTAGAAATTGGAGATAATGTTCTTTCTACTTTAATTCTTATTTGATTTATTAGTTAAGTATTAATATTAAGAGGTTCAAAACGAAAAAGTTACTTCTTAAATTCAATGTTTTCATTTCGAATATTGGAATTTCTGTTTATAAAAGGTGAGAAACTGTTGAGTATGTTTTTCATTACGTAATAATTGTTAAATTAAATTATACTGAATTTGGTCTCTTTTAAAAAATTGGTTCTTAATTTTTAATTGAATATTGATGAATCTTATATGTATTAATTACAGAATTTGAACATAAGTTGTAATGTAATGAATTGTATAATAAGAATTGATGAGTTAGGATTGATCAATTAAATAATAATTAAATATATGAGACATGATTTTTTCCTTGAAAAAGACATCACAATCTTAGAAAAGATTGGGGAAGGAGCCTTTGGTTAAGTGTATAAGGGATTATATAAGTAAGAAGAAGTGGCAATAAAGGTAAGATTAGTTAAATTGTTTAGTTCATGTAAGGTGCATAAATTTAAGAAACATCAATTATGGAAAGTCTCAAGCACAAAAACATTATAAAATTATATTAAGTTGTCAAATTTAAATATAGTTTTAGTATTATAAACATGGAAATTGCTAGTATTTAGTGATGGAATATGCAGCTGGAGGCTCATTAAATGAGTTGATGAAAAAAAGTTTAGAAGAGTCAATTATCAGTTAGATTATGCATTCTATTTTTGAAGGAATCTAATATCTTCATTCTAAGTAGATTATACATCGAGATATTAAGCCTGGTATTATGATATATAACAAAATTAGATAATATCTTAATTAAAAATACAGAGGATCTTTCTAGTATTAAAATTGCTGACTTTGGTTTAAGTTATTAATACAAACCTGAGATTCGTTATTATTAGACTGTTTCATAATAATGTGGAACCTTTATATATATGGCACCTGAATAAATTTTAAATAAAGCATATAATAAAGCTGTTGATATGTGGTCATGTGGTATTGTACTTTATATGCTTCTAAATCAAGGAAAACATCCTTTTTATCCTAGAATATTTACTAAAAAAGAATTCATTAACAGTTTCCCTGATTTAAAATATGAACAACCTTTACATGCATCTCCACTTGCAAGAGATCTCTTATATAGATTGTTATAATTTGATTAAGACTCTCGATATACAGCATCTTAAGCATTAGTTCATCCATGGATTACTCGAAAATTTAATGATCCTATTCCTATGAGTGTTAAACAATTCGGAATATGTTAAGAATTAAAAAAAAAAGTATTTTTTTTTAATTATAATAGATATTTTAATAATTATAATCTATTTTGTTTATAATTTAATTACAACGAAGATCAATCAAACAATCTCCAATTTAATCTAGAAGAGATCTTACTGAATTTAAGATATCTATTGCTGAATCTGATGAAGATAATTATGATCAACAAAATCTAGATACAATAAGTCCTAGAAATTAATAATTCTTAAACAAATTATCAATAACTAGACCTAATAAAATATTCAAATCTTACAGAACTCTCAATAACATACCTTAAAAAGATAAGCATTATCGCTTAAATGCAATTCTTAATCAAACTAATGAATCTACTCAAGAATTTAAAATTTTCAAATTTCATTAACAATTAAGCATGGATAATGAACAAGCAATCATTCCAATTGATCCCGAATCTCCAAAGAAAAATCTTAAAATTGTTCAATCAAAAAAGGTTCTTCTTCCTGCATTATCAGAATCCACATAGACTTCTCTAAGTCCTGTTAAAATTAATAAGGTACCTATAATTAAGCAGAATTCATTTAGAAAAACTGAATCTTCATTTTTCTTAGGATTAAATAGAATTAATAATGATTCAGTCTAAGATTCAGGAACATTTAGAAGTAAAGCAGATATTCATGATAGAGGCTCAATTCCATCTATAAACACTCAAAGATTAACTACAAGAAATACAATCATTAATTTAGTAGCATCTCCTAATTGTAAAATTATACAGTAGAACAATCTTCTTATTCCTAAGAAAATAATATGATAATAGTATAATTATGAATAAATTCAAATTTTTTATTTTTTTTACTTCCAATAAACATAATATCAACTAATTCTTCATCCAATTAACAATACATTTTAATTTTTTTACTCCAATTTTATCGATTAATAACTTATTAATATTACCTTTATAAAGAGCTTATTTTTTAATTCTTAATTTCTCTCTTCAATAATCACATATCTAATTTTATCGAATTATAATATTCTAGTAAAATTATGAAAAATTAAATTTTGATAGATTATTTATGATGGATGGTATCTTTTTAAATTAAATTGAATTTACTTGCCTTATGAAAATTACAATACCTTAATTAACTCATTTTTTTGTGTAATAATTAAATGTCTCATACATCTATAAAAAAAAATTGATATTAAAACCATTTTCAAATAAATTAACGAGTTATATCATTCTTCTTAAAATACTCTTTAAGATTTTATTAAATATACTTATTGTTTTATTAAAACTAATCCGTAACCCCCAAAGATAAATGTTAATATTTTCATTTCATCTATTTCGATGTGTATTCTCATATTTCTATGAGATTGATTATATCTTACTTCTAAAATATTTATTAATTTCCTTAAGTCCTTGATACTATATGACGATTTAATATAAATTTAAAGTTTTTAACAATGAGATTAATTGAATATATTGTTTATTACAAATTGTCATATGTGAAAATAATTATATTTTTTATGTTGCTCAATTGAAGTGTTTAATTATCCAATAAAGATTATATGATGTTAATTGTTTACTTTTTTCAATATAATATTTTAGTTATTATTATCAACAGAATTAACAATATGATCACATTTTTTTGATAATATTTAACTTATTTATGGCATTGATTATTTTATCTTTTTGTAATTGATTTCAAAACTAATTAAAGCTTAACTCTGAAGTATGACTACTCTTATATCAAATTCAGTATTCATAAATTCATTATATTAATTACTTATCATAAATAAAATTAAATATACAATTAATATGTTCTTCCTTTAACCCCAATAAGAGAAATAGTAAGCAACAAGAGAATTTAGAAGCAAATAATTGAAAGAAGTATTTAAAGCAGCCATTTTATTTGGAGTATTAAAATTAGCAGCAATTGCATTCAAACCTAAGAAGGCATGATCATACATTTATTTTTATAAAAATATGATAATTCACTCTTGAAAATCTAAACTCTTAGCACTTTTTGGTTTCGAAGATTTAGATATATCTTGGGTTTAATCTAATTTTGGAGATTACTTTTCATTAGTTTCTGATGTCTATTTATCAATTTTCTTTATTGATTATTCATTCGAAGATGCTGAGTTTTCAGATTTATCATCTTTAACTTTATCCAATAATTCTTATCTTCTTTTTCTTTCTTACAAGTCTATATATAAGTATAAGAATTTTGAATACCTGAACTTCCTGTTACTTATGATTATGATAGCATTTACATTTATAATTCTTCTATCATTTGGTCTTTTTTATTTAATTCTTCTTAATTATCACTTCTCAATTATTTTAGTTCTTCATTCTCTTATAATATTTAATTCATCTTTTAATAATATTCTTAATCAGATATTTACTCTAATTGTTATTATAAATTTGATATGAGAGTTTATTAATCTAGTAATTGTTGTTCATAAATTGTTTTCATTTCATTCATTTATAACAATTGATCTTTAAGTTATTATATCTATTCTGGTTAATTTATATTTTATATTTAAGCCAATTATTCATTTAATTAAGTTATTTAATCTTATTATTCCTCTTCTAAAATACTCTACCATTATTATTTCATTTGATTTTCAGTTTATAATTTTTCATATTATGTTATTAAATTTAAATATTTCTTTTAAAAGTCTTCATCATTTTATTTTTAATTTATCTCTTTAATTTATTTGTTTAATTCATCAATTTCAATATTTTTATTATTAACTATAAGTTCATATTAATTAATATGTTCCTAAAGTTCAGCAATCTTTTCACTATTATCTACTTTTGGATTGTTTTTGCTTTATTAACTTAATTATTCTACAAAATTTTATATTTTTTTTTCATATTCATTAATAGTTTCTTCTAGCTCAGAATTTTGAATTTCCATCCATTCTATTTTCATTTTTGATTCAGATTCTAATTTTTCATATTAAGTATTCAATTATTTTATCTTTTCTTCATAATCATCATTTTATAAATTACATTTTTATTTTGCTAATTCTAATTTTAATTAATAAATCTCTTTATTTTTATCAGATACAATATGTTCATATGAATTAACTTAATCTTGTAATTAACTAAATGATAATTTGGTATGATCTTTATTCATTTCAAGCTGACTAATCAAAATATTATTTTATTTTTGTACTTCATCTATTTTATGATTTAATTATTCATTTTCTTATTTTAGATCTTCAAGTTAAGATTTTTATAAATTAAGCCATTCTTATTTCATTATATCTTAAGTTTACAAATCTGAATATTATTAATATAATTCATCATATTTTTATGATAATTATTTCTTACCAGATTCATTTTATTTTAAGTTAGTAGATTCTTAAAGTTTTCCTTCTAATTCTTATATTATTTAAGCTAATTTTTAAAGTTATTATTGTTATTCATCATATATTTCTTAAAGTTAATTTAAATTTGATAGTTCTTTTTAATATTCCTAAATTTTATTTTAGAGTAATTCTATTTCTTATTATTTATCTTCAATTTATTTAGTAGTTTATTAATGTAACTCTTATTAATGCTATTATTATTTTTCTAAATCTTTAACTAACTTCTCTAGTTGACTGTTTTTTAATCCAAATTCACTTAATTATAATTAAAACTAATTTTTTTATTATTAAACTTTATCATGATCATTAATAACTTTTCTTAATTCATCATTAGTTTAAATTAAAATTTAGTTTTCTTTTGTTAATTTTTCAAGCTATTTTTCATAATTATTTTTATCTTTTTTCATTTCATCAATAGTTTAAATAAATTTTTATATATTATCTTCATATTATAACATTTATTGATCATTTATTTTATGATGAGATGATTTTCTAATTTGATTTAATTAATCAGAATATTTTTTATTTTCAATTTCTAGTTTTTTATTATCAATTAAATGTTTTTCATTTTTATCATTTAAATCTTAGATCTATTTTTTTTATTTAATTATTTAATCATTGAGTTATTGAATTAATATCTAAAATTATTATTTTTCTGCATTTGGTTATAAATTTATTTATTGATGTCCAGATATTTTTGGCACTTAATTTAAAGTTTTAGGATCATTCAAATCTTATTTTATCTTTGAATCTTATTTATCTTTTGATTAATTAAGAATATCACATCTTTTTTAGAGATTATCGTATTTATCCTTCCATATTTCAAGTTCCTTAATTGAAGCTTCTTTTTCTTATTTTAAGCAATAACATATTTCTTCATACATTTTTTTATATTATTTTAATACTTGAGTGCCTACATCACTAATGGTATTTTTAGGAAGCATATAAAAAAAATTTATTATAAAAATGAATTAAATATTTATTTATTTAATAAGATTTTATTTGATTGTAAAATGAAGATTAGACAAAAACTAATTAAATGAAAAATAAATACAAAATAATGTAGAATTGATTTTGAATTTAATATAATTTAATTTAACAGAAAAAATTAAACAAAAAAAGTATACTTTTATAATTTGATATAGTTAGATAATATTATATGAAGAATTAAGAATAAGATTGTGAATTTATATATTATAAGTATTATAAGTTAGAAATAATATAAAAATAGATATGTTTGAAATTATTTAATAAAAATAAGATAATAGACATAAAATATATATATATATAGAGTATTATTTATGTATATTTTGAACATCTTACATAGTATATATGATTTTGATTGTAAATATACCTGACATTTCTTATTTGAATTAAAATTCTCAGAACATCATATTCTTGTTTATTTGATTCCTGAATATAAATATTAAATATGAAAAAATTACCGAGCACCTATCTAGAACCTAAAATTTTTGATAACAAATATATTATAAAGAATCAACTCAGCTCTGGATCTTTTGGGGTTGTTTATTTAGCAATACATAAAATAACAAGAGAAGAAGTAGCAGTCAAATTAGAAAAAGGAGAACATGAAACTTTGGATAGAGAAGTTTATTTACTGACAAAATTATAAGGAATATAAGGAATAACAAAACTTTATTGGTTTGGAGCAGAATAAAATTATAATGTAATGGTTGTTGAATTATTGGGAAAAGACTTAGGATATTATAATCGAACATATAAATAATTGTCTTTAAAAACGGGATTGCAATTATTAGATTAATTATTGTCTATATTTAAATCAGTGCATTAAAGAGGAATAGTGCATAGAGATTTAAAACCAGAAAACATAATGATGGGCAAATAAAATTCATCTATTGTTTATTTAGTTGATTTTGGTGTTTCAAAATTAATTTTAGACAAGGGCAAACATATGTAAGTTTATAATATAATAAGAGTTCGTTTAAAGATAGAAAATCATTTATTGGAACTACTAGATATGCTTCAATTGCTGCTCATAAAGGATTTGAAATTAGTAGAAAGGATGATCTAGAATCTATGATGTATGTCATTATCTACCTAATTTTAGGGTAATTTTTGATTATAATTTTAAGTAAATTACCATGGTAGAATTTATAAAATATTGGTGATAAAGATAGAACAATTGCAGTTGGAGAAGTAAAAATGAGTACAACCATTGAAACTTTATGTAAAGAATTGCCAATCCAATTTGCTGACTATCTCAGGTATTCTAATTTTATTAATTATAAAGATATTTAAAAAATTTAGGGTTTGAAGATTAACCTGATTATGATATGCTTAAATCATTAATGAAACAATGTAGTAATCCTAATACATATGATAATTAATTTGAATGGTCTGATAAATAATAAAATAAAGATTCTGTATTAGAAGTTAAAGTTTAAGGTTCATTTTTGGCTGTTCCTGGAAATGATGGTGCTTAAAGATCTAATACTAAAAAATAATCAAATATTTCAAATCTTGGTATTTTTTTAATTTAATTTAAGGATCTTCATCTTCTAATGTAGTTAAATATGTACCATCTTTTCAGGATGCTGTATAATTAAAATAATCATCATAAGCTCCTATCAAAATTGCTGCAAGTTAACCTCATTTGGATTTTAATTTACATAGTGAAACTGTTGATTTTGATGATATTGAAGAGAATATGAGTAACCATCCAACTTTAGAATAAAAATATTTAAATTTATCAGGGTTTGATGCTAAATTTAAAGATGAAAAAATGAAATTTTCTCGTTCTGCAATTAATGTTTTTGATTAATGAATTTATTATTAACTTTTCATATTATTACATTTAATTATATATCTCATAGATTTATATTACAATTTAAATTAAATTATAGTACAGAATAATTAAATAATATAATTAGATATTATTAATTCATATAATCAACTATTTATGAAACATTTAAAAAAGAAATTCATAATCTTAATAATACTGAACCAGCTGTTAAGTTCTTTTTATGTTTATTTATTATCTTAACATGCTGACTTTATGATCTAAAATTTAATATTTTTATTACTTTAGAATTGCTGGCTATAATTTTTCTAATTTAATAAGCCTATTACTTTTGGATGTCTTTTGAGCATCTAAATAATTACTATGTATCATATAAATTGGTAATGGTTATTAATCAAATATTAGTGGTAATATTTTATGACTATTATCTATTTAAGATGTATATCTATACTAATTTTAATTAAATTTTGAATAGCTTTCCTTTCAGTAAGTTAGGCCTATTCAACTAAATTAGCAAAACTTCTTTTATTATATTTCAATATTTGCTTATATTATTCATCTTTATTAGGTTTATGTTTTATAGGCATCTATTGAATTGATTCTACCATAGACTCGTCTTCATCATAGTCTTCTTCTTATCTAATAGTAGGAACCAATAATTAATGCTTAATTGGTAAAGGTTCTTATTTTTCATCAAAAACATTAATTCGTAATTTAAAATTAAAATCATCAACTGTTCCTTACTGATGTTTTAAAATAAATGATTAGTAAATGACTTTGTTAATTCTAAAGACAAGATGAGAATCTAATGGAGTAGCAGGCAAGTAACATCTTTGATTATGACCAATATTTTATTTATATTAAAACTTTATTGTAGTTTATCGTTTATCCCACATTTTTCTTTGAGGTAATATCTATAGTAAATTACTGGATTAATTATTTTTAATCTCTTTTAAAGAGCTCATATTGATAGGAGGTAGTTCTACATTTCTTTTTCTATTATTAGTAAAAGTTTCTTAAAATGAAATAACATTGACTGCTCTTTTTAACATATCTTTATTATGATTATGTCTCTTATTTCTCAATCTTAACTATTTTTATTATTGAATTTTAGTTTATTTTTCCTAATTCTTTCTTTCATTTTCAAATAATTTATAAGCTACATTGAAATATGGTTGAAATTATTAGATAATAGAACCAATATATTTCATTTTTTTATTTACTAAACCACATTCAGAACATTCACAACTTTTTCTTTTAACTGGAGTTTTATCTATTTTAGGTATTTGAGCATTCATTTTAAATGATTATCCAAATTCATTTCTATTTCTCATTATTATATATATTATTTCTAATTAAATATTATAAAATCAATAATCAAATACTTATATTTTATAANTTTAAATTAAATTATAGTACAGAATAATTAAATAATATAATTAGATATTATTAATTCATATAATCAACTATTTATGAAACATTTAAAAAAGAAATTCATAATCTTAATAATACTGAACCAGCTGTTAAGTTCTTTTTATGTTTATTTATTATCTTAACATGCTGACTTTATGATCTAAAATTTAATATTTTTATTACTTTAGAATTGCTGGCTATAATTTTTCTAATTTAATAAGCCTATTACTTTTGGATGTCTTTTGAGCATCTAAATAATTACTATGTATCATATAAATTGGTAATGGTTATTAATCAAATATTAGTGGTAATATTTTATGACTATTATCTATTTAAGATGTATATCTATACTAATTTTAATTAAATTTTGAATAGCTTTCCTTTCAGTAAGTTAGGCCTATTCAACTAAATTAGCAAAACTTCTTTTATTATATTTCAATATTTGCTTATATTATTCATCTTTATTAGGTTTATGTTTTATAGGCATCTATTGAATTGATTCTACCATAGACTCGTCTTCATCATAGTCTTCTTCTTATCTAATAGTAGGAACCAATAATTAATGCTTAATTGGTAAAGGTTCTTATTTTTCATCAAAAACATTAATTCGTAATTTAAAATTAAAATCATCAACTGTTCCTTACTGATGTTTTAAAATAAATGATTAGTAAATGACTTTGTTAATTCTAAAGACAAGATGAGAATCTAATGGAGTAGCAGGCAAGTAACATCTTTGATTATGACCAATATTTTATTTATATTAAAACTTTATTGTAGTTTATCGTTTATCCCACATTTTTCTTTGAGGTAATATCTATAGTAAATTACTGGATTAATTATTTTTAATCTCTTTTAAAGAGCTCATATTGATAGGAGGTAGTTCTACATTTCTTTTTCTATTATTAGTAAAAGTTTCTTAAAATGAAATAACATTGACTGCTCTTTTTAACATATCTTTATTATGATTATGTCTCTTATTTCTCAATCTTAACTATTTTTATTATTGAATTTTAGTTTATTTTTCCTAATTCTTTCTTTCATTTTCAAATAATTTATAAGCTACATTGAAATATGGTTGAAATTATTAGATAATAGAACCAATATATTTCATTTTTTTATTTACTAAACCACATTCAGAACATTCACAACTTTTTCTTTTAACTGGAGTTTTATCTATTTTAGGTATTTGAGCATTCATTTTAAATGATTATCCAAATTCATTTCTATTTCTCATTATTATATATATTATTTCTAATTAAATATTATAAAATCAATAATCAAATACTTATATTTTATAATTATAATTAATAATTAATTAAAAATGATTATATCATTTTCTTATATAAAACAATTTAACTACATTCAAATCATCATTTACATAATCTAACATCTAGTATTTATTTTGTGTGAATTTATACCATTTTTACTATTTCCAACAATAACATTAATATTCATTTTATGATACTTTTTCTATAATTCCTTATAACTAATAAAGATCTTAAATATTAAATAAGTATATACTTGAATCAAAATAATATCTAATATTATAAGGTTTTATTTAATCTTAATTTATGTTCAAAATTAAAATCTTATCTTAAGCCCAATCTACTTCAAAATAATCTCTAAGAAAATAATTATCAAATGTTTGTGGCTAATAACGAGAAACTATAGGTTGAATTTCTTAATATATCACATAGATATTAATCACTCTTCTACCCAAATTCAAAGCTTTTTCATTAAAAGGTACTTAACAATTATTACATAATTTCTATTTACAAAATGTACATTTTGTTTATCCCTATTAATCTGTTTAAAAATATAAACTATATTTTTTATTTAATCTAAATTCTTTATAATTCTCAAAATTTATTTCCTCAAATAAGTTAGCTATTAATAAATGCAAATCTTAGAATTTATGCCATTAACTTATATAACATTTTAATATAGGACTAAAAGGTTTATATTATTGATAACCAATATTTTCATAAGTGCATGGATGAACTCTAATTTCTATTCTATCATCATTATTAATATTATGCTCTTACCACATTAATTTTCTCAATTAATATTTATAACCCTCCTTTAAACTATATGCAGGTTTTGTAAAATCAATATCTTCAGTATAATATTCATTACTGCTCTCAAATAACACTGAATTAAAATCACATTATAATTAAGGATGACTCAATAGAGATTCAACTAATTATCTTATATTTTTTTAGTTATTTATAATTATTCTGTTTTCATTATTGTAAATATACACAGCATCATATCTTGATTTTGTTATAATCACTTATTTCTCTTATAAAAATTCATAGTCTAACAATTCATAATATACATATTCACTAAATCCAAAATATGATTCTTTTAGTATTTCTTATAAATTTTAATATTTTTTGTTAGAATTATATATAATTTCATTTCTAATTATATCTATATTTTCATAACATTTAAGCATACAACTTAATAATGTTTATTGATCCTCAAAGATAGATAAACCTTTTCTACAATATTCAATATATTCTTAATTTAATAAATCTTCATTTTTAACTTAATTGATTTGTAAAGTTTATTCAAAGAAGAATTCTTTATTAAACAATTTAATATCCATTATTATATATTTTTTATTATGCATTTAAGCCAAATCTTCTATTTTTTCTAATTCAATCTTTTTAGTTTTGATTTCTTTAATAATTTATACAAAATTAGTTTAATTTTCATTTTTGAGAGTATATAATTTAATGAAATTTTTTTTTGGTATTTAGAAAGATAATTAATTTTATAATGATTGTTCTAGATGTGAAATTATTTATTAAATATTCCAAGAGGTATCAAATTATTATATTCCTTCAATATAATTTTATTATGATTGATGAACAGGAATAAAATGAAAATTAAATAATTGATTGATTTAATTTTAATTTTTAATTTATCTTTTAATACAATAACCACCATAAAGATTCTTATTATTATTAACAATATTACATTCAAATATGACCATATTTATTCATTTATATAAATGTAATCGACATTATATCTTAAATTATCTTTTAAAAATGAGTTATATATTTCATCTTAATATCTAATTAATTTAAATTGTATTACTAAAGAATATTAGTTTTTAATTCATCTATTATATCATGATTAATAGGTTTCATGGGTAAGTTTTCTTTACCATCTAATTTTACAGAATCTATAAATTTTTTAATCCAACTAATTTATTTTATATATTTGATTTATACCTAAGAGATATAAGGTATACTATTTGATGATTATTTTCTTCCTTTTAGTATTATTCAATCAATTACACAATTTCGATTAGTTTCATTTAATAATGATATTATTATTTATTTATATTATCATTAATGATATTATTAAATGATTCCAATTCTTTTCATTTCTTCTTCTATATTAATCAATTCTTCCTTATTTTTGGCTTTAATGTGATTAATTTCAATTAGAATTAGATACTTCAATTACTCTAATGTTATGGCATCATCATTTTCAAAATCGCACTCAAGATTTCCTGTAAATGTTATCTCTTCGGCTTAATTTCTTATAGACTCAAAGAAGGGATGTTCTAAACACTTATGTAAGATAATGTAAACTTTTTAAGCAGTAATTCTATTTTTTGGATTCATTTCTAACATCTAATCCAATAAATCTCTGGCTTTAGCATCAGGAAATGGCACACTCTTTGAGGCTGGTTATTTTGGTTTATGTGGTAGAGTTTCTATAAAAGACAAAGCATTTTCATTAGTAACTAATTAATTAAGTTCTTCATCTGATGGTCTACCTAATATATCAAAAAACATCTTAATCATTTAAATATAATTAGGAGCATTAAATAATATCTTTCTTGTCATTAATTCTGCAAATGTACATCCTAATGACCATATATCAACAGGTTGAGAGTATTATTAACTTGATAACATAATTTCAGGAGCTCTATAATGTCTAGTAACTACATATTCTGTCATATTTTCATCTATTTAATCTTATATTTCATCTTTTTTTCTAGCAAATCCAAAATCACAATAACAAACTTCACAATTCTCATTTGCCAAAATGTTTCCTGGTTTTATATCTCTATGAATAGAACCTGACGAATGTAAATAGTAAAGTCCTTTGCATAATTGATACATTATGAATTATACATGTTCCACTGATAAATCTTAATTACTTTTTATTATTTTATGTAGATCTGCTGGAAAATATGGACTAACAATATAAATGTCTCCAAAGAATTCAGATTTCTAATCATATATTATATCATAAATTTTGAGAATATTATGATGATTCATTGATCTTTAGATTTTTATTTCTCTTAAGATTCTCTTTGCATCAATAGCATCTTCTATTACATTTAACTTTTTAATTGCTACCTAATTAAATATAACAATAGAAGTCATACTTTATGATTTTTGTTTTATAAGTCGTATGCTAACACTACTGAACCATAAGCTCCTGTTCCTACTAATTTTATAAGTTTGTAACGATCGCCACAATTAAATGAAACTCCTCCAAACATTATGTTATTCTTCATTTTATATTAAAAATTATTAATATATAAAATATATAATTATCATATACATAAATATGTAGCATAATGAGCTATATTCCTAGATCATTAAATCACTTAATAATACATTCACCTTCTGATTATAAATATACTATTTGAATTCATAGATATATAAAAACCCAAAAATTAGATCATTAATTTATGGTCTAAAAAATATGAAATCAAAGTTCTTTCAGAATAATTCATAGTTGTTCTCTATTTTTTAAGAAAAATAATCAAGAATCAAAAATAAATAAAATAGATGAATTAGATACAAATAATTGATCCTACAAATAGATGATTATCATAAATATATTAATAAATTGAAATTGATGGGTTAATGTAAATGTGCAACTGCCTGTTATTAGAAAGAAGAAGTCAATTCTTTAAAGATCTCATCTCATTCGATACAAATATCTATCAAATAGAATAAAAATTATTAGGACAAGACTTCAGATAAAATTGAGCCTCCCAATCAAAAAGATTTAGATTCAGGGATACTCAAAAATTCAATCAATAGCAAGATTTCGATTTAGGAATTGTCTAAGAATTTGATACAAACTTAGGCTCGAATGCCAGATCAAGTTATAGATACATTACAATCATCTGAGAGAAAAACTCTACCTGTAAGCTGAATATTCTAAATGAGTTAATGTAATTGCCTAATGGAACTAAATACGAAGGATAATGGTTGAATGGAATGAGAGATGGATTTGGAAAATAAATTTGGCCAGATGGATCGATATATGAAGGGTAATGGAAACAAGATAAATCAAATGGACATGTATCTAATAAAGAAATAACTGTAGGGTAAATTGATACATTCTGATGGTGATATATATGATGGTGAATGGATTGAAGATACTGCATGTGGAAAAGGAATCTATATTCATATAAATGGAGCTAAATATGAAGGCGATTGGTTAAATGATAATTAACATGGCAAAGGTTTTGAGTCATGGCCAGATGGAGCTAGATATTAAGGAGATTATAAATTTGGGAAAAAAAATGGTCAAGGTATACTTACTTTTACTGATGGTGCAAATTATGAAGGTGAATTTAATTTTTTTTATTTTTAGGGAGTTTTGTTGATAATGAAATTTCAGGGTTTGGAACTTATAGATGGGCGGATGGACGAATATATATAGGATATTGGCAAGATAATAAAATGCATGGAGAAGGAACTCTAAAATGGCCAGATGGAAGGAGTTTCAAAGGAGTAATGCAAACCATAATATCTATTCTAGATTTATGAAAATGATAAAAAGTAAGGTAATGGAATATTTTATTTTGGGGATGGCAGAAAATATATTGGTACTTGGGATGATGGTAAATAAAATGGTTTAGGAATATATTATTAAGATGAATAATAATATAAAATAGGAATATGGTAAAATGGGTAAAGAAAAAAATGGTTAAATGATCAGGAAATAGAAAATGTAAAAGACTCAATCTCTAATTTATAAAAATTATGATATATAAATTATTATTATTAAAAAATAATTAAATTTAATCCTCTTAACAAATTTTTATTATTTTTTTTACTAATTGATGTATAATGATAAGATTAATTTTGAATTACAATAATTTTAAACATAAATTAGTACAAATTAATTGTAAATTTAATATTTAAATATGAAAATAAAGAAATAATTATGAATTTTTAATAAGTAAGAAATGTATATTTATATTAAGTTAAGTTTTTATAAATATATATATATATATATTTATTCAAATCCGTTTTAATATAAATGAGGGTCGTGATTGTTTTACTCATATGTTTAGTATTTTGTTAAGGTATTCCAGTACATAAGAGATTTTTGTAACTAGAAGAGTATTTGATAAAATGAATTTTAGTCAAGACAATGATGTTTAATATACATCAGAGAATTTATAAGTTGTTGTTGATGAGAAGAGTTAAAATAAAGATGTTTAGATTTTAGCAGTATAAGATAGTGATTTAATGATTAATTAATTAGAACCATCTGAGAAATTAGAGTAATAATAATCATTAGATGATGAAACACCATTAAATAGTGCTTATGTATTAGATTTGATAATTATGAAAGTTTGAAGATGATTATAATAATAATGAAATCATATAAGATGCTAGTTAAAATATAGTGGAGGATTTGAAATTGATTGGCTAATTAGATAACAATAATATTATAGATGAGAACCATCAAATAATAGATACTTAATAAAATATTACTGATGAAAATGAAAATTATGCATCAGATACTATGAATGTTAATGATGAAATCTAATAGGAAATTATAGATCAATAGAATGTTTAAGATAAAAACAATAATGAAGATAATTATTATAATGATTCAATTGAAAATAATGATACATTACAAGTAAGTGATACTATTTCTTAATAATTTATTGCTTAATCAAATGATGTTCCAGATCTAACTTATATGGATTAAGATTAAATTGCATAATAATTCACTTAATCTTAATATGAAGTATAAACAAATCAAATAGAACAAACCAATCAATAAGATTAAACTATTATTATTGATAATTAATTACAAAAAGATGAAAATCAAGTATAACCTAAAATTATTGTTGTTGAAGATTAATCATAAATGAAATCAGATGATTCAAGTCCAAAATAAGTTAATATCTAATAAGAAATCTCTTCTGAAGATCCAAACAACATAAATAATGTTTAAGAAGAGTAATATTTTATAATATAATTAGACAAATATCTTAATGTATTGAATTATATAGTTAATGTTATTATAAAGGGGAATTCATGAAAGCTTGTAATGATCTTGGTTAAATGAAGTAATTCAATTTTATCATATTTTAGAGATTTCCCATATGAAATTAAGTCTTTGAAGATTCCTTATGGTACAACTCTTACAATCTATGATCATCCAAATTATGAAGGAGAAAGACACACATTTTCTAAAAATGAAGAGTGTTTAGAAAATGTAATTGTTTTAACATAAATTACATTTTGAAATTTAATATATAAAAAATTAACAATAAAATATGGGAACAAGCAGTTCTACATATCAATTTAATTTCTCTTAATATTAATATTTACAAGAAATCATAGATCCTAGATTTGGAGAAGTTAAATTATATTAAAAAAATGAGACTGGGGAATTAGTTTGTGTAATTGAAAAAATACAAACTTAATCAACTAAACCCTTTAAAAAACTTGATCATCCTAATTTATTAAAAGTACATTATTATTCTGCTTCCACATATAAGGTAAATTATTAATTTATTACAAGGAAGTATGTTCTACATTTACAAAATTATATATAGTGTATGAATACATAAATAACGATCTAAATACAATAATAACTAATAGATATAAGAAAAATTAATATTTTACTGAATCATAACTTTGGTCTCTCTCTTATTAAATACTTGATGTTTTACATTATTTAAAAAGAAATGGTATTTATCCCATGGAAATAAGAAATTTATTTATTTCAAATTAAGGGAATCTAAAATTCAATTCTCTTTTTGATAATCATATGACATCATTTTAATAATTGGTGAATTAAATTACTGAAGATTATCATATATCTCCAGAAGAATTGGCACTTTTTAAAAATTAATCAAATTTTAATAATCTTAATCCAGAATAATGCTAAATCTTTTAATCTGGTTTAACTATTTTATGGGCAGCATCTTTAAATGATCCTTCTACACTCTTCAATAAAATTGAATGGAAATTAAATGAACAAGATTTATATTTAAGAATTTCTGAATTGTAATATACTGATAACTTTAAAACTTTTTTAATTAAAATGCTTCAAATAAATCCATCTGAAAGAGGTACTTTAGAATCTTTATTACTTTTAATAAATAATTATGAAAAAAATGAAGATCTTCTTAAAATTTAGAAACTTGATTCTATTCCAACTAATCATTAATTTGATGAATATGAGTATTAATCATAATCTTCATATAATTAATCAAGTCAGAAGCAAAAATAAAATTTATAATAGAATAAAATATAATAATTTTAAAAATAAATATCCTTAATAGGTTCAATTACTTTAAAGTCTGAAAATCAAGAAATCAATAGAAATAATTAATTATTTAGTAATAAATTTATTCAACAATAAGATAATAATTATTATTAACAATAATAATCAAAATCATTTGTATAATATTAAACTCCTGATTCATCTCCAATTTAAACTAATAGAAAACCTCCATCCATATCAGCATCTAAAAATTAATTGAATAGCACTTCTAAACCTAATATATAAACTTAATCATAATTCAATAAAGAAAAAGTATTAGATACTAGTTATTTTTCTTAATAATCATAATTGAGTAATAATAAAAGTTAAAGAAGCTTATTAGAAAATAGAATTGAAGAAGCCTTAATGAAGAGTAAATTGGCATTAGCAAAATTTGATTAAACTATTAAATAAAATAATTATTATAAAAATTGATATAGAATATAATTAATTCATAGTAACTAATCATCTGATCTTTCAAAAAATAGAATGTAAGCTTATTATCTTAGGACATCTTACTCTCTAGCAAATTAAACTCGATGGTCATCAAAATAATACCACTTTAATTAATCTTAAATTTTACTTAATTTCCTCTTAAGGAGAAATTTACATAATGTCCTTTCTCTTAAGTTCCATAATGTACAATTACAGATTTTAATTTATATTGTGCTTTTACAGAACAAAATTCACTTATATCTAAATTATTTTAAAATTCTATATAATTATGTAATTTCTTTTCTTAGAATCGTTTTAAATGAATAATTAGAAATTAAGGGGGTGTTCCAATCATATATTTTTTTATTGCTTTTGTTGTTCTACTACATTAATTACACATATAATCATCATCTAATACTTCTTATTCAAAAAATTAGATTAAACATTATTTTAAACCTTTCATATTATTCATAGATAAAGATAATTCAAAAAATGACTCAAATTTTGAAGAAGTTTATTTACATTAATGACACTAAATTTATTGCATCATTTAACCTTAAAATAAGATTTCAGTTATTGCTTAATCATATTTATTTTACTTTAACTCTTTATTAAATTGATCTGTTAAATAACATAAAAATTCTTAACAATCATGTTATAAATTAGGAGCAAATTGATTTTTAATTAATTACTTCAAAGTGTCAATTTTAACATATTGTCCCTTTTTACAGTTTTAAATTTAATCTATAATTTAATAGTAAGATAAAATCCATTTATAATCTTCTTGCTTTTTTGTTTTCCCTTCAATTGATACCCAACAAGTTAATTATTCTATAGATAACAAGCTCTATATAGCTGCATGCAAAAAGCAGAAATTATTCTCATTATATAAACCTATTGCTGGTAATATAAATTTTTATTTTTAAAATGTTTAACTATTATAAGTACTAATATCTATATTTTATAATGATCCTTCCCTTGAGTTTACTTAAGATTCATTATTGATTCCTAAATAATCGTTAAATATGATTTCTGGTCCTCCTCCATAAATTGCTATCAAAAATTGCCAAGTGTTGCGATTCATTAAAACAAAATCCAAATCTTATTTTAGATTTTATCTATATGGATTTCGAATATCACTATCAACAAATAGATTATTATTAGATATTTCAGATGGAATAATCAGATTTTAATTTTATAAAAATGCAGTATAATTTGCTGCCCATTTTATATCTAACATATAAACAGCTTTAGCTTTTTAGGATATTAAATTTCTAATAATTTAAGCTTCTGTTTCTTATCTATAAATTATAATGAATGCTTTTACCTTGTATTTTTATTAAAATGATCTTTAATTTATTAAATGTAATGGTTAACTATATAATTGCAGCTGCCAGCTTAACTCTACTTGATTATATTAAATACTATACATTTGTAGTTGACTTCTTTGTACTTATTGAAACAGTATCATCTAATTTAGCAGGGGAACAAACGTTAATTCTGTATTAGATATTAGCAGTTATTTGTATTTAATTATAGGTTGGCTTTTTGAATTTTGGAAATTATGGTACAATGATGTGATGTTGTTCTTCGAACTCTTAATTAATAAGATCGCATTCTAACATATTCCATTATGAAATATGTTTTTAATTGTTATTTTTCATTTATTATTAAAATTTCATATTATAATTTATATCATTTAGTATTAAATTGATTTTATTAATTAATTAGTATAATAAATGGTATTTTGAGTAGTATAAATAAAACTATGTAATTGAATGAATCTTAGGAATAAATCATCCTTAAATAAAACTTGATTCAATTATAATATTTTTGTTTTAAATTATATAAAAATATATAAATTACATTATACAATTTGGTTAGATAAATTTAAGATTTGTTATATATAGAAATTTGCCAAATGATCCTTAAACCTAAAGAGTTATTTATATTTAATATATAGTTTAATATCAAATATATATTAAAAATATGTTACAGAATTAAAAATAAATTTTAATTTTGGGACTTATGTATAAATAAATTGAATATATTATGGTACCAAATTTCAAAGTATCATATTTTGTTTTAAAAAGTAAAAGATAGATGAATAAATTATAAATAAATACTAAAAATATTATGTTATATACAATGCCTACGTATTAATTTATTTGTTTGTAATGATCAATAATACAAATTTGATTTATTAAACTAAAATTTTATTTGATTGTTAAAAATCATATTGAATATTATTATCATAAAATGACCTGTTAAAATTATTATATGAGAAGTATTAGAGTATAAAATTATATATAATAACAATCTCTAAGATGGGTTGAATAATATGAGTAAAATTAATAATATTGCTTTATATCACTGAACTAAAGCAAAAACTTTTAGCTTATATTGGCTTCTATTTTAAAAATATAAAATCATAAATAATGTACATTTCTCAATAAATAATCAATTGCTTGTCGCTTCCAACCTTAATTATTAAAAAAATTTTGATAATCAATCCTTCTTCTAGCTTAGTATTTAGAATATTGTTTACAAATGTAGTTTTTTTCAATTTATATTATGATAATATAACATATTTTAGTCATTAGAATGGTGACAGCAATAATAATGTATAGATTATTGAATATAAAGAAGGTTTAAAAATCAATCATTAGATTCTCTTGATTTCATCGAAATACTCATAATGGTTAATTATCTAATCATTAACTTTTATTTAGACCCAAAGTTTTGAACCTTCCTTCATTGAACCAATAGACACCCTCTTGATTTCAGGATCTGCATCAAAGGCTATTTATTTTTTTTTAAAACAATGAAGTATTGTTTTGGCAGTTGCATAGTTAATATTTAAATCCTTTGCTATCTAACATATTGAAAATATCTTACTTTCTTTATTTTACATTTTTGTTTCAGTACAGTCTGAATCAGTTAAGCTTTCTTTTCTTTAGAAATGTGACAATAGTCCCTTTTGATTCTAGGTTGAAGCACTCTTTCACATACATTCATGGATCTGGTTTTCACTCCAATTACACTTTCACTACTATTCATTAAGATTTATATTTTTATATTATAATGTTAATGGAATTATACGGATTTATAAGTATCAACATAATTTGTTCAAATAGTATAATTATAATTATCGTAATTTATAAAGCTAATTATATACTGACATCTTGAAATGTTATTAATGTTTACTTATAATTAGATTATTTTTTTATCATCATCGACAAAAATCATTGTTGATTTAATAGTGATTACTTGATGATAAAATCTTTTCTTTTATAATTATTTTTACATTCATTAAATCCTTACTTAGTATCAAATAATTTATTATTATATTTGTATTTTTATTTATTGCGAGTCACAATCAATCCAAAATAACAATTTTGTTAATTGAATTGAAATTTAATTCTTATAGGAATTCATTCTACTAATTTCTTAATTTTTTGTAAAATTAAATATTGAAATGAGACAAATAAAGATATATTTGTTTTTTGTATTCTCCTAATTCATATTCAAATGAAAAAAATATTGAGGAACAATGTAAGAACATATTTATATGAAGTTTGAGATTTAATTATTGTTAATCTTCATATAAATTATATTAATATTAATGCGGTAGAGTATTAACTATGATATTGAAAAAATCATAGATTTCATAGTTATAGCATCTAATTTTAGATTAGAGTTTCCATTTAAATTTGCAAATGTTAATCATGAAATTATAGGATTATTTTAAAGATAATAATTCTTAGTATTTCTCAATTTGCATCCAAAACTTATCTTAACTATCAAAATGACCATTATATCAAGTTAAGGCTTATAGTTGCTTATTAATAAACAATTAGATCAAGAACTTATGAAAATGGCTAAATGAATCAGAAATGTAAATTTGATATTTTTTATTTGTTTAATATTACTTATAATATATTTATAAGAAAACAAAAGTTAAATAGAATAGTTTTAAACATATTAAGCTAGCTTATTATTATGTAACATACTTTAAAAATTATGATAAATAACATTTAACAATCAAATAGATTAATTTAAGTAATTACTGTAAATCTTTAAATTTATAATAAAAATCATTGAAAAATAGTATTATCTTATATATAATTAATCATGATCTACTGCTACACATGCTTAGATACATTTTTAAGATTTTATCAAGATCTTATGACTATTAAGGATCTTTTTTAAAGCTAATCATAATAAAATTAATAATTACCCTTTGACTCTATCAGTTTTTATATTTAATTTATGTTCTTCCTCGTATGTTTATTTTTAATCTTCAATTGTAAAGGATGGCATTGATTTAAACTAATCTAACAATTTAACAGTTCCATTTTCATCAAAGTTTTTTGATTTAGAACAATATTTACTAAGTTAAATTTTTTTTGGTTATGGACTTTTTATTGTATTTAATTTAGTATTTGAACTTTTAATTAAATTAGTCAAACTAGCTTGATTTCTTTTATGCATATTTGTAGCATCTCTTAAAGGACTAGTTTATTCATAGATGATCTTCTTTTTAATATCATCAAATACATTTTATTACTTTTTAGAATCAACTCTAGTTTTAGAAATATTAGGAGACTTGATACTTAAGGAAGAAGAATTATTTAGATTATTATTTGTATTAGCTTAATTTAATCTACCAAATGGTTGTTATTTATGACTAATTAAGGGAGATTGATATTTTTAGATTGAATTTTAATCTATAGAAGAACTTGATTTTGGAGACATTGATATTTTCAATTCTATAAATATAATTTAATTAATAATACATCCTTATTGTTAAGGAAAACATCTCTAGACAAATGCAGATTAGTAAATATCTTTAAAAGATATTCTTAATTAAGGATCTTTTTGTAATATATTTTTGATTAATTCTTATGCATCTTAACTAATTGTACTGGAATATCGAATTAATCCATTTTTAATATTTTATGCTATTTCTTTATATTCTTTTCCTTTAAATGGAGCATAACCATGTAATAATTCATATAATAATACTCCAACAGACCAGATGTCTATTTTATAATCATATGGCAAATCAGATACTATTTCTGGAGCCATATATTCATATGTTCCACAAAAAGTCTTTCTTTTCAAATGAATATTCTCAGCACACCAACCAAAGTCGCATAATTTTATATCATTATTATTATCAAGTAATAAATTTTCAGGCTTTAATAATTAAATTTAATATAATACTTTTATATCTCTATGAAAAACATTCATTTCATGCAAATATTATAATGCTTTACAAGTCTAAATGAAATATTTACAAGCTTCTTTTTCTTCTAATTTCTTTCTTCTCTATACATAATTATATAAATTCCCATTCTCAGCATATTCTAATACCATATACACATTCCCATGTTCAATAAAACTGTCATATAAGTTAACTATGTTTGGATGTCGACACTTTAAATGGACTTTAATTTCTCTTTCAACTCCTTCTTATTCATATGGGGTTTGTATATTGCATTATTAAATGGATTTTATAGCATATAATTATTGTGATTTTATATTCTATACTAAATTAACTGTTCCAAAAGATCCAGTTCCTAAACTAGTCTTACCATTAGATCTTTATTTAGGTTCAAATTATGACATTGAATTAAATAGTCCTTTATTATAGCATTCTATTTTTCTCTACATTTGTATTGATTAACTGACAAATTTTTATAAATATAATCAATAAAATTTATTATAAACTTGACTAAAATAATGTACCTTATTTTATTTATAACATCTGAAAAACCTATATCCACTAATTAATAATGTTGCCAAAATATATAATATATAATTCCTAATTAGATTTAAAGAAATTATTAATAAACAGAGAATTCATATATTTAATATGTAAAAAAATATATTAACAAAAAAAATCAATCAAATACCTCATTTTTTAGAATAATTTCATAATTAAGATCAATATTACTAATTATTAAAGTCTTAATTTACTTTTCAATTTCTTCATAAATACAACATAATGAAAAAAGAAAAATAGGTAAATAGTAAATAAATTTTTATTAAAATGCAAGGAATATTAGCGAAAGTTTGAATTATTGAATTTGACTTAGGAATGCATATTTGAACATATGTAATTTTAAGTTATAGTATAAAATATTAAGAATATTATCAATTTAATTTATGAAAAAAATATACAATTATAGAAACTTGTGTAATAACTTATTTCTATTAAGATTAATTATTTACATATTAATATTATCATTTTCTATTAATCTAATTAAACATCATGTAGTATGTAGGGAACAATTAGTAATTTGAGATCAATACAAATGCTGTGATTGGATATGGTAGCTATGGCAAAGTATTTGAATGCTAGTCTAAATTTGGGAATTTCCCATTTAAATTATGTGCCAAAGTATATATTCAAATTATTAAAAGGTCACAAGTATATATAAGGACAACAAGCCAAACTAAGAGAAAGAAATTAATAGAGAAAAAGAAATCACAGAGATTGTTTAAAGGAATAGAGATAATCAAAATCTTGTCTAAATTTATTATGTAGAGCATATTAAAGAAAAGTCATACCTGGTTGTGATTATGGAAAGATGCTAAACTAACCTTTAAGAGGAGTGGAAAAAGAAAAATATATACTAAGAACAAGAAGTTTTAGATTTTTTAAGATAATTTTTGAATGGTTATAGAGCCCTTTATGATTCGAATGTTATTCACAGAGATATTAAGCCAGAAAACATTCTAATATAATAAATTGGTATGTAAAAGTACTACAGATTGGCTGACTTTGGTATAGGTAGAATTTATAAATTAAATGACTTTAAATTTACAAAAGTAGGAACACCTATTTATGCATCGCCTGAATTAAATTCATTAATTTAAGATTCTGATCTAGATACTAAATTTGCTACAATGAAAAAAGAAAAACAAAAAAGTGTTGTTGATATTTACTCTGTATTAATCTAATATTTATTAAGCTTGGCATACTTTTACATAGTATTGTGACAGGAGGTTTTCCATTTGAGCCTACTTAAAATAAAATTGTCAAATTTCTGAATGAAATTAAAACTAAAGATTATAAACTCAAATCTAATGCAAATCCAATATTAATAAGTTTAATTGAAAGAATGATTGTTTATGATCCATATAGAAGATTGACATTTGATACTTTGTTTGATGAAGTCAATAGAATTACATCATATATGAGAAATCCAATTCCTTAACCAATTTTTTAACCAATACTAAATGGAAATTAATAAGTAACTTAAATTTAAATTTAATAGTTTCCTCTTTAAAAGGAATTTCCTACTTAATAGTAATTTCCTCCTTAATAGTAATTTCCTCCTTAATAGTAATTTCCTCCTTAACCATAATTTCCTACTTAACAATAATAATAACAATAAATTACTGGTTTTTAAGGGCCAAATCCAATTTAAAAAGGTTCTATTATTAATTAAGAATAACTCAATATTTCAAATGAAATAACCTGTTTTTTAAAAAAGATTTTGTAAATCCATAAAAATAGTTTAAATTCGCAAGTTATAACTACTTTATAGGAGTATATCTTAAACAATAAAAATTTAAGTGAAATTGGAAAATTATATAATAATTTTGACAAAAATATAAATTATAACAATGAAGAAATTTAATTTTATTATTGCTTGAAATATGGATTATAAAATTAGGCTTTTGTGAGTAAAAAATCACGTGATGATCAATTAAGAGACTTGTCTAATTGATAAAGTATTATAAATTATTAAAAATTATACAATTATTTTAGAATTTCACTATATATATTTTAATATATAAATTTAATTTTTATTTATAACAGAACAAATAGTTTCAAAATGTAACGACATCCAATGTCAATGGTTTAACCAAAATAAACAGAAGCAGAACTGTTAAATTAAATAAACTAATTAAAATCAGAACTTTCTTTCTAAGTTAATGCAAGTAATATATATTTTAAAAGTATTTATAGATGGAAAATTATCTAAGGAACTTAATGAATGTTTAAAGCGTTTAGGAATTACTCGGGTTGATGTGATTCATCAAGATATTAATCATTAAACAGATTTATCTTATTTGGCACCTTTGTTTATTGTTTATGAAGATCATATAAAAAATTATGATGTCATACTTCAAAAATTAATGGATGATTTAGCTGCTATGGATGCCAGAATATAAATGGTCAATGATGATAATACATTTCTGAGAAAATAGTTATAGGAGAAGAATGAATAATTTCTTAGATTGTATTAACAAGGAGGAGGTAGTGCAAATAATATAAAGAATGTTTTTAATGAATTAGAAAAAGAAGACTTAGAGGAAAGGATAAGATTATTGAATGAAGAAAATAGTATCTATGTCAATAAATTAAAATAATATGAAAGTCAAATATAGGATCTATAATTAAGAAATGATTAGATGTTTAGAAATGAATAATAATATTTAAATTAATTATAGGACTTAAAATAATTGAATTAAAATTTAGAAATTGGATCAGATGATTTAAAGATTAAATTAGATATACTTGAAAATAAATTTTAAAATCAAACTCAATTAGTAGCTATTACTGAAGAAGAGAAAACAGAATATATTCAAAGATTCAGTAAAAGTGAAAATGAAAATAAGGTGTTAAAACATTAGAATTAAAACTTAAAATAAGAAATTGTTAATCTTTAAAACAAGGGTTAATTGAGTTAAACAGAATTATCAAAGGAATTAGAAGAGATGCATAAAAAAGAAAGAGAATTGTTTGACAAATAAGTTCATAATGAGAGAGAAATTGATTAATTAAGAGATGAAAATAGAGCATTAAAGAGAGAATTAGATTAATGTAAGAGTAATTTAGAATAAACAATTAAAATGATGGATAATTATGAAAATAAAATCTCTATTTTATTAAAAAAAGAAGAAAATTATAAAATTTTAACTAAATAATTAAAAGAAGAAAGGGAAAATGCTGTGATGGAAAAAGATAGATATTAATTAAAAGAATAATAATTTGATTAGACTTTATAGAATTAAATGTCAAAACATAGAGAAGAAATTATGAATATAAAAGAAAATTTTGATAAATAATCAGATAGTTTAAAAAATAGATATAAAATAATTATAGAATAAAGAGAGGATGAAATTCATAGATTGAATGAAGAAGCAAATTAAATTACTACTTTAAATGATAGATTAACAAAAGAAATAAAAAGTTTAAAAATAGAAATTACTCGTATGGAAAATGGATTAAAATCAGATATTGAAACCAATTATTAATAAACTGATGATTTATAAAGACAAATTAGTGAATTGACAGAAAAAAATACATTATTAGAATAAAAATTAACTGATCAAGAAGCTGAATATAGTTTAGCAAAGTAATCACATGATTCCTATGTTAAAACTTTAACAAATAATAATGCTGATCTAAAATAAAATTTAGAACATACTAGATCTGAATTAACTAGTAGAACATAAGAATTATCTACATAAAAAGGAAAAATAAATTCATTAACTAGATAATGTTAAAACTAATTAGAGGAACTTGCAAAAACAAAAAGACATTATGAATCAAGATTAGAATAGATATAAGATGACTATACTTATAAAATAAAGAATCTTTAATTATAAATGGAAGATGCTATTAATAGAGAGAGATAAAGCAGAGAAAAATCAGTTAAATTATTATAAGATTATGATAAAATTGAAGAAAAGCTTAAAGTAGAATATAATTCCAGAATTTTAGAATTAGAAACAACAATTAATAATTTAAAGAGCATGAATCATCAATTAACATTAAAGTAAATTTTTATTTTATTTTTTAGATTAAATGAAATAAGAAATGTTTCATACATGAACAAAGTCGAAAATTCAACACTAAGGAAAGGATAAATTAATTGAACTTATCTTATTAATTATAAACAATAATTCATTTCTAAATAGTAATAATGAAACAATAAAATTTCAATAAATTTATTATTTATAAATGAAATTTTCTAGTAAATCTCCAACTAAAACTATTAAATAACAAGCATCAATATCGCCTAGCCAAGTTTAAAAAAAAGTGACTCATAATTATGTTGAAAAAACACTTGTTAATAAAGAAGTTGAATATTGGAAGTTTAAATATATGGAACTAGAACAATTCTGTTAGGGAAAATAATCATATGAAAAATTAGAAAATGAGTTGTAAATTTGGAAATCTAAATATTAACAATTAACTCTGAGAGTAAATATTATATATTTTAAAGGCTAGAGTAGCAAAAGGTTCAGAGTTAATTATCCAGGAATATCAAAGTAGAATATAAGAATTAAATTAATAATTTAATAGTAATAATTACAACTCAAATATTACTTTTAGTCCATCTAAAAGATCTGAACAAACTAAATAAAATGAATTGCAAAATAAGATTGATCAATAATAAAATGAGATAAAATCATTATAAAATTAGATAGAAGAATTAAAGTAATAATCCAAATAGCATACAAAACGTGACATAATTACTACAACAAATAACAGCAATTACTAATCTTAAAATATGTTCGCTAATTCTTCATCCTTAAATTAATAATATATTCAATAAACTATGAGACTTGAATTAGAATTAAAAAATATTGAATTAGAAAATTAGAGTCTTTAAGAATAGATATAATTCTATTAAAATAACTTAGACAATTAATCAAAAATTATAGACCAATAAAAATTACATATTAATTAATTAGAACAAAATTTAGCATCTGAAAAGTTGAAATAGTTGAAATTGATGGATTAAAATGCAATAAATCTAAAAGAATAGGAAATTAAAAAATATTAAGGTATTATAATCATTTAGTTTAGAGGAAATATTTATCTTAAGTTCAAAGTTAAGAGAATGTGAAAAATTAAAAAGATAAGAACTTAATTAAAAAGATGAGCATTATTAAGAAATTATTTCTTAATTAAAATTGCAAATTCATAATTAAATTTAAAGTGGAGAAATGAGATTAAGTACTCTATAAGTACAAATAATTATTTATGATAGAATATCTTGTAAGATAAATAACTAAATTCATCTTTTGGAAGAATAAATAATGATTTTTATTAATAATAAAATACAAATCAGTCAGATAAAGTAATTGTAAGACTTGATTCGGAAATGAAAAATTTAAAGTCTCTTATAAATGAAGATAATAATAAACAAAGATTTTTCTGAATTACTATTTTAATATTTATTGGTTTCAAATTTTAATATTTAATTATATTTTTTGATTCCATATTTTATAGTTTCTTCCTATTTTAATACTTTTAATAAAATATAGACATAAAATTTAATAATAAAAATTAAAAATTAGTAAATTAAATTTATAATCTTTCTGAAAATCAAATTGATTAGAATTTTAATTACCTTTTAAAGAATTTAAGCTAAGAATAGGTCAAATTTTTTTTAAAATGATAAAAATAATTAATAAATATCTGTATTATCTTAAATAAATAAAGAACTTGATATATATATTTAATAATTTATATATTCTATATTGTACTTATAATAATCTTTATTTATGTTTTAATAAACCCTATAGATATTTCAAGTAATTTGTAAAAGAGAATTAATAGTAATAAGTTAATACATGAGAATATTATAATATATAAGTAAATTACATTCTGTCAAAAATGGTTAATGAAATTAGATTATATAATGAAGTAAAAGATTATAAGTGTAATTTATATCTAAAAGACAGAATTAATGATGCTACCATTTGTTATTTTGTAATGCTTTCGTTATTTTAATCTGTATAAACATAATATGTAGTATAAAGAATAGAAGTTATGATATAAATTGCATTTAAGTCTCTTCTTTTAAGAAAGATATTTTCATTGAATAAATAATATTTTGAAAAATGTTATTGATATTTCTATTCTTTTTGATTCAATGGATCAACTGCTGGAATGTTATAACTTCAAAAAAAATAATTGAGCCAATTAATAATGATAATTTTATTATGGAGGATGATTATCTCATAGTATCAAATGGAAGCTACTTATTAAAATATGAAGGTTTATAGGGATATAGAAAATTACATATGATATTTGATGCTAAGGCAAATTTAAGTTAAGTGGAGATATTGCTTAAGGTAAATGGAATTAAGAGAAACTTTCTTGTTGTAGAAGAAGATTTTAAGGAATTTCATATTGAATTTGAGCACTAAGCTCCAGATATAAAAATATAGTTTAATTTTGATGAATAGATCTAATTTTCAATAAGGAACTTCAATTTATTTATTGAAGAATGCCCTAAGAATTGCAAATATTGCTTATCTGGATATTGTGATCTTGAAATATTGGATTAATGTGAGAAATTAAGATATAAAAATTAGTGTGTGGATGAATGCCCAAAAGGATACATATCTGAATTCAGAGAATGCATAAAGACAAGTATATTATTAAAAATATTGAGGTTTAAATTAGTTGGGTTTAAATTAAATGTCTATAGACAATGATATTGGATAAACCAAGAAATTTGGAGAAAATTAAGAATTACATGTTGATTTTGGATAAAATTTTGTAGGATGGATGGAAATTGTGTTTAATTGTTATGGGAAATAATAGGAGCACTATAATTCAATTCTAAAGATATTTAAAGAAAATGCTCAACCTGAATTAATTCATCCTTTTTTACCTATTTATTATAATACATAGTCATATAAACAGTGTAAGTAAAGGTTTGAATTAGATTGCATATAAGTTAAAGGTTACTTAAAGATGGAATTTTAAGAATAAAATACAATTACTATATATAGTTATTCAAAAAATGTTGAGAATACTGGATTTTGGAATATTGATGAGATTAAATTTTATGATAAAGAAATAAAATATTATGAATGCACAATTAATGAATGTGAATCTTGTTCTTTTAATTAAGTATGTAGCCAATGTAAGGTAAATTTATATTTATATGAAAATTAATGTGTTAAATAATGTCCATACTTTACAATTAAAAAAGGTGGTAAATGCATAAAAATAGATGAAGAATAAAAAGGTACTATCTTTTATTATCTTTAGATGTTAGTTTTATAATAAAATTGGATTCACCTTTTTAAGAATTATTATCTATTTTTGGTTAGAAGACTTTTGATATGAAAGAATAAATAAGCTTTCGATATGAAAATGGAACTACATATATCGGAGGTGGATTGAAAGATAATTGGCGAAGGACAACTTTTACAAAATAATTAAATCTTGGGAAACATTACTCTATTAGATTAATGTTTAATTTATCAATAGAGAATTCTACTTCAGAATTAGATTGCTTTACTTATACAATAGATGGAAAAACCTATCTTGTACATAAGAATGAATCTTATATTGATCATCCACTTTATCATAATAAGAATATACTTAATCTGAATTTAGGATGCAAAATCTCGAATAATGGTAGATGTGTAATCTCTAATTATTATTTTATGATAATGAAAGTAATAATCTTAAACAATTTAGTGTTCTCCTCTATGTCTTTAATGTGTGGGTCCACTTCAATCTGATTGCAAAGCATATCAAAAGGATATTGATAAATTTGACTATTAAAAATAAAAGTGTCTAGAAGGTTACTATTTAGATGACTATGGATGTATCAAATGTTCAGTTGGTTGTCTGATTTGTGAAACTTACAATAAGTGTTTAAAATGTAAAGATGATAAAGATGGAGAGTTTTATTGTTTACCTTACATATGATTTGGTTAATTTTGTTTATTTATTTTAAACTTATTTGTATTTTTTAATATTTATTAAGGTATAAAAAATAATAAAAAATAGGTAAAATAAATAAGACATTCATTTTTTATTATTACTAAATATTTTATTGTTAATTCTAAGATAACTTTGATATTTGATAGTGGGTTATTTAATATTTCTATCTGTATTTTGAGGGGATAAATAAGATGGCAAGGATAAGGCTGAATTCTTGTGAACATCACTTAAATTCAATTTAAGTTAGGATTGAATCATGGAAGATGTATTTGAATTGCTAACATAATGTTAATGTATAGGTGGAAGTATTTTCCTTTCATTTATTTATTTCTTGTATGGTTTAGGTTATAATTATTCATCACTCATTTATTAATCTTAGTTATATTGATGATTGAGCTAAATCAATTAAGATAATAGTTTTGATCTCTTTTCCACAGTTAATCTATGATTCTAGGTAATGAATGATGACTTACATTGATTTAGAATTGTAGAGCATTTCTATCTTAACAATAAGAAAGATATCTCAATAATCTAACAAAGTCAGTAGAGTAATAATTGGATTCTTTGGCTTATTCTCTCATTTTCCTCATCATTTCTCTAAATGCTAAATAAGTAAGATATATTACATTATGTTGCTTATTCATCATAAATAACATGTTTAAACTCTTCTAATTCAATAGATTCTATATTAATTAGACATGTAAGTACTGTTATTATCTTTGTCAGCCTTCTCAAAAAAGCCTCGTAATAAATTAATATTTATTGGATATCCATTTTTTAGAAACATAGAGTATAATTCTTCAATTTCTAGTGTTTCTTATTATTAAATATGAGTAAAATATACTTGATTAATCCCTGTCAATTAAACGAAATGTATTAGTTACAACATTATCATTCATAATTTCACGTTATGATTTCAAATACTGTAATTTAACTTTTGATTGGCATCGAGAATTAAACCAAGATTTGGATTGTACTGAATGAAGTATTTAATCTGATGGAGGTAATATCATTAAAAATATTATTTGAAGATGTATTTTAATATAAAAATATAAAAAATTAATTAACTAAATGATGTAAAGTGAGTAGACTATGTTGATTAGTAGTTTATGATGATGACATTGATTATAATATTGACAACAGAATTTATCAAAATAATATTAGTATATCTCTGTATATTCATGTAATATGGATTTATTTATATATATAAAACATAATCAAATAGATGTAATTCCTAGTTTTATCAGTTGTTATAATGAAAATTCATTGTGGTACTAGTTATCATCCGATCCTTAGGTTGGGAACTTTATATATCGGAATTAATGGATAGTTCAACATTTCACTTATGGAGAAACTCCAACAACATTCCTTAATCGAATTTACTTCTAGTTTGTGACTTATAACCGACACTCAATTCAAAAATTTTACAGGGAGATGTTTCCTTAACTCGTAGTATCTTGATGTCTGCTTCCAGAGGATTTAGTAAAATAAGAATCAGTTTTGATATTTATTATTTGGGTTAATGGAATCTTGCAGAGGCTATCACAGTATATGCTAATAGTTTATTGGTGCATTATGAAACTCCTAAAACTAGTGAATTATAAGACTATCCTATGAGATATTGTATATAAAGACCAATTGGAAAATCAAATTCTGAGAAAATCTCAAGAATAGATCAAACGATATCATTTAATGATGCTCAATTAAATATAGAAATTGTTCATGAATAATTTACGATTGGTTCAACTAGTGATTATGGAATAACAAATTTTGTATTATAAGTTTTTTATTGTGATGATCTTTGTGAAGAATGTGATGAATATTAATGTTTGACATGTAAATTAGGATATGAATTAATAAAATCATAATGTAAATGTGATCCAACTTAAAAATTTTCATTTTACAATCCAAATTTATAATGTCTGGATTAATGTCCAATAGATCATGTACCTGATGAGAATGGTGTTTGTTAGATAGCAATAATAAATAATATCTATATGGATTTGGAATAAGATATTTTTAATATTTACAAATTCTAATACATTCCCGATAAATATTTTAGTAATATATAATTGATGACGCAAACAATTGGAAGTAAGAGTGTAGCTGGTATGTTTGGGAATACAGATAAAATTGTTTATAATGATATTCTATTACCTGCAAATGGAAAATATGAGATGAAATTTACATTGTATATTACTGGTAGAGTTTTCGGTTTTGTTTAAGAGGAAATAATTATTAAATTCAATTAGTTTGTTGTAGCCAAGATAGCTGATTTTCAAACAGTTTTTTTAAATTCCTATTTCAAACAGTAAAATAGAGTTTTACCTAAAGAAATATGTAATACTCCATTATATTAACAATGTAAATTATAAACAATTTACATGATGTTTGATCTTTCAGAAACAATAAATGAAATAGAATTTAGTTCTAAATTTACTTTAAATTAGTCTGAAAGAAAATGGGGAATCAGAGATTTTATTGTGAATCAATATTCAATATCAAGTAATTAAATAAGTTGCTTAAATAATTGTTAAACTTGTTAATTCAAAACACCAGATATCTGTTTGTCTTGTGGAGGTAGTAAGAATTTATTTAAAGGAATGTGTATAGATCAATGTCCAGATTACACAAATGCAATTGGAAATGTTTGTGTAGATTCATAAATGGTAAATGTTAATTAAGAGTATTTAATAAATATGTTTCATGATTTGAATCATTACTATATAGAATCTTATTCAAATAAATTAAATTTGAGATCTTACTCTTATTTTATGAATAAAATAATTTTAGGAGGACTTAATTTATGGAGTAATGAATAAGTGATACATAGATTAAAATACAAGAAACCATTTTATAGAATAAAAGTAGAATTTATGTTAGTATTCATTGATTCTAAGAACAATCAAATATAATTTAGAACAAGTGTTAATTCTGAAGTTTCTATATATTCTATGTTTGGTAGTGGAATTTCAGTGGGTAATTAAGTAGGTTAAAATGAAATTGAAGTAATTTAGAATGTAAGTTATATGAAATCATTTTAATCAACTGATGAATTATCAGTGTAATTACATTGTATTAGAAGTATTGATAGTGAAGCATATTGTGGAATATATGATTACAGAATAATAATTTGGACTTGCTAAGATTATTGTAAAGAATGTGATGATAATGGAAATTGTTTGAATTCAATAAATACATTAAGTACTGATATTAATGGATGTAAATTGGGATATTTTATGGATGATAATGGAGAATGTAGTCTTTGTAATATTGGATGTAATAGTTGTAATGGAGCATCAGAATGCATTACTTGTAAAGATGGATATGAATTGAGAAATAATATATGTTATTGTTCTATTTTAAAGGATGTGATTCAATATTGTTCATAAAGTAATTGCTTTCATAATTGTCAGACCTGTTTAAATAATTAGTTAGATGTTGGTGTAATACGTCCAAAACATCCAAAAAATTGTTTATCTTGTGATGAATCAAAAAATTTATGGTTGAATGTTAATTAATGTATATGTCTAGATGGATATTATATGGAAAATTTTAATTGTTATTAATGTTATCCAACTTGTAGAAAGTGTTAAGATAGAGCTAGAGATTGTTTAGCTTGTATTCCAGGTTAATATAGAGTATTAGAATCATCTACTTGTGAATGTTAAACTGGTTATTTTCAAGAAGATAATGATTTAATTTGTTCTAAATGTTCAGATTTATGTTAAAAATGTTAATTTACAAAAGATCAATGTAGTTAATGTTATCCTATTCACAATAGAATAACTTAAAATGATACTTGTATTTGTATGGATGGTTATTATGATGTTGGATAATTGATATGTCAAAGTATTTATTACTACTTAAATAATTAGAATGTCCTACTTCATGTAAAACTTGTCAAAATTATAATATTTGTACATCATGTTATGATGATCAATTTAGAATCATGAGTATTAATAATTAAACTTGTATATGTAAATCTGGATATTTTTAACAATCATCTGATATTTGTGGATGTATACTTATATTTATAAATATTAGAATGTCATTTATCCTGTTTAGAATGTTCTAATAATACTAATTAATCATGTACTAGATGTTCTAGTACCAGAGAACCTTAAATTACAAATAATGTTCTTTAGTTCTCCTGCAAATGTAGAAGAGGATATTATGAATCTAATGATAAATAATGTTTAAGTTGTAATGACTATATAAATCCTCCAATTACACATTATTGTTATTCCAAATGTGGAGATGGTATTCTATAATGGAATGAAGATTGTGATGATGGCAATGATAATTATAGAGATAATTGTTATAAATGTTTACATGGTAATTCATTTTGTTTAGATTACACTTGTACAGCTTGTGATGCTGGCAAATGTACAGCCTGTATTGATGGATTCTATTTAACTCAAGAATCTATATGTTTACCTTGTGATTCAAGTTGTAAAACCTGCATTAATAAATCAGATAATTGTACAGATTGTATGGTATATAAATCTGATGGATCTGCATGTGTAATATGTAAATAAGACTAAGGATATCAAGTCTAAGATGATTAATGTGTTAATATTTGTGGAGATGGTATCAAAGTTTAAAATGAATAATGTGATGATGGAAATATAGATAATAATGATGGTTGTAATTAATAATGTCAAATTGAAGAAGGTTATTAATGTTAAACCTTATGTGAGAAGATTATCTATCCATCTATTATATTTGAATTAAATCCTTATGATTTAAAATATGACTCATAAAGAATTGTGAGAATTAAGACAGATCAATAAGTTTCAATATCTGGAAGTATCAATTCCATTATGAAATTTAAAATCAATAATTTAAATTAATATGAAATTACTTATGTAGATTTAACATCATACTCTGATTAATATAGTTATTTGTTTCTAGAATTGAATATTCAATTTTAATCAATGGTTTCCAATCCTTAATTAATTTGTTAGATAGTAAATCAAGATGCCATTCTAAATGAATAAGGAAATACTTTCAAAGAGAAAAATTATATTACTTAATTATTGGAATTTTAATCACCTTCTAATTCAACAGAAAGTGCTACTAATGGTTTAATATAATTAAGTAAATATATTTTGTATCTCCTCTTTGGATTTGCTATATTAGCATTTCTATTTGGAGGACTAAATATATTTTGGAATTTATTAGATGTTCTATAATTAGTATCTTACTTATAATTTTTAAATGTTTAATATCCATATAATGTTAATAATTATTTTACAATATTTGGATTTGCTCAATTTGATTTTTTAAAACAATATATTGATTTGGAATAATACATTAGTAGATATGTAAATACACCTGATGCAGATTCTAAGTTTAAAAATGAAGGATACTCAACTGTCTTCTATGTAAACATAATTACTGTTTTGACTGTATTTATAACAACATTCATTACTTTTATTGCTTGTAGAATACTATTTTAAACATTAACTAAGATCTCACATTCTTTTATATATGCTCCAATTGATTCATAAGAATAAAGTGTATGTACATTTTTCATTTATAGAATTTCAAGAAATTTATAACAATCCTTATTAAAAATAAATTAAGAATTTATGTCAGGTGTGATTCGCACATTCATGGCAGTAGCTTTTGATTATAATCTTGCTTTGTTTCTATAATTAAAGGATGTATATATAAATGATCCAATTTTATTTTCTAGTTTTTTATTTTGCATAATTGCATTATTATTAGAAGTGATATTTATTTATTTAGCAATACTTTTTATGTCTAAACCACCTTATGTTTTCAAATAGAAAGTTATACAACATAATTTTGGAGCAATATATGAAGGTGTAAAATTAGAAAAGAATCCATTTACTTATTATTTCAATATAATCTTATTGATTAAAAAAATGTTATTTATGATGTTTCTAGTATTATTTTATTAAATTCCTTGTATTTAAATAGGATTAGTATCCATGTTAAATATGATAATGGCTGTTTATTTGATTAAAGTGAAACCTCTTGAAGATAAAGATGAATTAAATAAACAAATAGGTTCTGAAATGATAATATGGTTAGCAGAAATGTTTATATTGGGTTTTGCAATAAATGAATAAACAAATTAATTAGAGGATAATGGAAAATTAAATTTAGGATGGTGTATTATAGCATCTACATCATTCCTAATATTCTTTTAATTGATTATCGATGTTAAATAACATATAAACTTCTTAATCCATGAATATGATATAATCAAAAAATTAATTGATAGAATTAGATTACTTATGAATAAATAAGAACCATAAGAAGAATAAAATATATTTCTATAAGGAAAAAGAAGATTAGGATTTGAGAATAATACTTCTATAAATAATCTTAATAGTGCTATGAATAATAGATCCACTTGTCAATTTAAATAAGGAAGAGTTGTTACATTTACAGTCAGTTCAAGTAGTAGCTGAAATCCATACTCTTATCTTTTGCTGTGTATATTATTTCATGTTTATATATTTAATCAACATTATAATCATTCTCTAAATAGTCTTATTTCATTACATAAATCAAAATTAATTTATACGTTATAATAATTGTCATTTTGTCATTATCTATTAGATTATGAATTTTTAAATATTTGGTATTTCTAATTTAATTTAAGTTATGTAAATAAATTTATAAGTAATTTAATATGAATCGATTATTGATTTAAATTCTATAATTATTATATCTTTTGCTATTAATTATTTTTATTATTTATTGCTGAATATTTTAGAATGAAATCAAAATATTACAATGAATGGTAGATCAGACTTAAATTACGTTATATCAAAACAGATAATTGCAATATCATATACTAGTACAATTTTGTTATTTTTTAAAACTAAAATAAGATCATTTTAGGAAAGTTTACTATTTTTTAAACATTTAATATAATCAAAGGCAAACTTTAATTAATTTTAAATTCTATCTTGCATCTTTACAAATAATATAGCCTCATTATTTTGTAAAATAATATTATACTGATTAAGTACAATACAAATTTCTATAAATTTCGAATAAAATAGTTAAAATTAATAAATCTATATATTTTTTCATTTAATTGATTCATATTTCACTAAGTATAAGTATATATTTTAGAGATAAATTAGTTAGATTGATTTGTTTTAAGAATATTTTGAAAAAATAAATAAAATCTTTTTATTTATAATCATGGGTGTCGGAAAACCAAGAGGTATGAGAGCAGGAAGAAAGCTCAAAGATCACAGAAGAGTTAATAGATGGGCTGATAAAGAATATAATAAGGCTATGATTGGATCAAGATATAAAAATCCATTTATGGGTGCATCACATGCTAAAGGATTGGTTGTTGAAAAAATTGGAGTGTAATAATTATAATATTCTATTATAGTGAATCCAAATAACCAAACTCTGCTGTCAGAAAGTGTGTTAGAGTATTACTTAAGAAAAATGGTAAAAAAATATCAGCCTTTGTTCCAAAGGATGGTTGTTTGAACTTTTTAAATGAAAATGATGAAGTAACAGTAGCTGGATTCGGAAGAAAGGGACATGCAGTAGGTGATATTCCAGGGGTCAGATTCAAGATTATTGCTGTCAAAGGCAAATCATTACTTGCTTTGTGGTTAGGCAAGGTAGAAAAATGACAGTACAATAACAATCCATTAAATATATTTATCTAAACCTCATAATTATTTTTTGATTAAAATGCGTTCTCCTTCATCTTCAAACTCTTTCTTTAATATCCACATACTTTTGAATGAGGCCAAATGAGATAAAATTGATCCTCCTTACCAACTCAATGTAATACGTTCAGGTGGAGCCCATATTTTCACCTTTTATATTCTACATATTAATACCTTAGCCTCTTTTGGTACTAATCTCTTTACTTCTCCTATTAATCTCTCTGGAAATCCTTACATCATTGAAGTACCTCCTGTTAATACAATTTCACTATATAAAGGTTTCCTCAAATCTAAATCAACCTTTTATATTGAATTTGCCAAAATCTCAGGAATAGCTAAACTTACTTTCTTTGTAAATTACAATTCAATTCTAAACCATATTTTTCTGGACACATCAAAATCTCAGGTGCTCTTTATTTCTCAAAACTCAATTCAATTGTACTATTATCGGGTAACATATATTAATCTTTAATCTTTCTTTCCTCTTAAAATTTATCTTCTCCTATCATAGCTGGACTTAAAAAACATCTTTTTTCTTTGACTTTCTTTATAATCTCATATTCAGCCTAATATTATAATGAATATTGATTACTGTAGTAGTAAATGTATATCCTGTTCTTCTTAATAAATTATTGAGATTTTCTGTAACATCTCTTCCTGCCAAATCTACTCTTTATGCACTGTGTTAAATATAGAATCCTTCATAAATTGGAATACTTTATGAAACTGTGTCTCCAACATCCAAAATTACTCCAGTTGTTTTACCACTTGCAAATAAACTGATAACTCCAGATACTGCAAAGAACAAAGCTGGACAATTATAACTTTCAAAAAATTGTTTTGCAATTTCCACTTTTTATGATTATGATGCATATGGAGGTTCTGTTAATAAAATTGGACACTTAAATAAATTTAATAATTAATAATTACTTCTTTTGGATTTCCATGTAATTCTTAGAATGTATATTTCCATAATTAATCCATTTCATTCATGTCTTTAATTACACCTCTTTAATAAGGGTATTTGATTTTCATCATTCCTCTTGTACTATCTGTAATTTAATTTCCTACATAAAATTCTTGACTATTTGCTACAGGTAAGGCTTTATATTTGGGACGTCCAATACTTAATTATTTTTCAATTTATTTACTATGAATTGAAAATCAATTTTGGTTTATCATCTCCACCAAATCCAGCCTTCATTTAACTTGAACCCTATTAAATGATATTTTAATTAAATTTACCATGTCAATCACAATTGAATTATTAGCAAATATGTCATTATCCATTTTATAAATTAAATTTAATTTATAGGTTTATTTTTATAAAGTCTTGAGTCTTCATTATTAATAATAATAATAATAAATAAATACATTATTATATAATATCAAATTTCATCTGATTTTTAAAGTGGTTTCTCTTTATTCTTATCACAAGTTCTTTTATATTCCTTTATTAATGAATCCAATTATAACTTATATTCAGGAATTAATTTATCATATAATTTTTTAATTGCTTTTTCTATTGATTTCTAATATAAAATTTAATTTTAATACATAATGATTAAAATTAGGATTTTCAAAAAAGGTTACTATAACTTTAAAAGTATCCTTATAAAATTGTTATTCAATACAATTCTCTAACATCTCAGTTACATCTAACATTATAAATGCTGATAATAATTCCTCATTTCCTATATATTTAATTAATAATCTTAACATTTCTAATCTACCCTTTTTTATAATAAATACTGTTACTTTATAATTATTTTTATTATCCTTATTGCATACAAATTAAACTAATGTACCTGATATCTCTTTAATAAAATGTGAACACACTTCTTCTAAATAAGCAACAGCATTTTCTGAAGTAGATAACCAATTCTCTATTATTTCAACAATAGTCAATAAATTAGGAAATCTAACAAATAATAATACATAAAATTAGAGTATATCAATAGACATTTTATTAGTTATTTGTAAATGTAAAATGATTAGATTATGTTATTAAGCATAATCAATCTTCTATTATTTTAATAAGAGTTTTTCAGTAATAAGTGATGTTAATTCTTATGTTTACTCAGTATTTAAAGGACATATTCTAATCATCTTAGTTAATTCTTAAATTGAATCTTTACTTTTTAATCTTTAAGCAAATAAATAAGCATTTTTATTAGAAGATAATTTTGAAGAATTATTTGTATTAGTATCAAAAGTCTAATCAATTTATTTAACTAATGAAGATTATTATTATTATATTGGAGAATTCATCATTTACATTCTTTATTATTATAACAATGTATTTAGTTATTATAACCTTTATTATTAATGCAAAGTCTCTCTTATTTAATACAGTTTCTATAGTTCGTATGATTGAGGATTAAATTATTCTGAATTCATTTTATTGTTTTGTTCCTTATATAAATTGTCAATGTCATTAAATCAATCTTTTCAAGGATTTTATTTATAATTATTAAATTATGTATATTACAAAATCAAAAATAATAAGTTGTTAAAATATCTGTTAGTTCTTAATCTCTAATTGGTTTTACTAGATAATTCAAAATACCAATCTTTTAACATTATTCTTTCTCTTTATGATCAGTATATCCAGAACAAGCAATAATAATTTAATTAGGATTAATCTTAAGTATTTCTTTTGCAGCATTAAAACCATTCAATATAGGCATTTCTAAATCCATAAATATCATTCTATAACCACTACAAGTCTAACAACATTTTTTGTTTCTTAATTTTTCAATACATTCATTACCATTTGAAGCTGAATCTATATCTACAATATTTCTAATTATTGTATAATATTTACTTTTTATTTAGTAATTTAATGAAAGTAAAAACATTAAAAATTTCATCATCAACTATTAATATATGTGAACATCTAATAGGTGGTGGTTCTAAATCAATTGACTTTTTAGGTTCTAATAAAAATGCTTAACCTTCATCAACATCTTATGATTAACCTGGATTTTCTTTTATTCTATAACTAGATACTTTCTTCAATCTAGTTTATTAGATTTACAAATTAAAGAAAAAATAAGTACCTTAATTTAATTTTGAATCTATTTATAATCCTCCACAACCAATTGAACTTGCTATTTGATTACTTATAACCAATCCTAATCCAACACCATTCTCATTTCTTTTTCTACTTTCTTCAGAATTTACTTTTGAAAATTATTTAAAAAGTTTCTTTTAATCTTCATCAGATATACCAATACCATCATCTTATACACCTATTCTAATTGTTGTGTTATCTATATAAGATACAATAATTGTAATTTAATTTGATGCAAATTTAAAGCTATTACTTAATAAATTTACTAAAATTTATTTAATTCTATTTCTATCACTAATAACTATAAAAGGAGCTTTATTATCATAAATATATGATAAATTTAATTTTAATATTTTTGCTTTTAATGCAAATAATTTTAAACATTCTTTTATTAATTATTCCAAATTAAATCTTGTCTATTGTAATGCAAATTTACCATTTTTAATTTAAGCCAAATCCAATAAATCATTTGATAAATTTAATATATAATATGAATTATCTAAAGCAGCTTAAAGCATTTCAGAATTATCCATAGTTAATTAATTAGTATGTAATACATTTTCTATCATTTAAATAATACAATTTAATGGAGATCTGTATTCATGACTTACATAAGATAACATTTTAGATTTTTATAGATCATATTCTCTTAAATATTTGATTTTTTATTTATGTGTAATATCTCTAATCAATATGAAGAATAAATTATTTTCTTTTTTTGTTATTGTAAATTCTAACATTTTTTCAGTCTTTCTTTCACTCTAAGACATTGTCACACCATTATTAGGATATATTGTATGTAATGTAAAAAATTCATTCTAAAAACTATTTTATTTAAACTTACTAAATATTTCTTTGAATTAATTTACAATGTTTTTTTCTTGATTCATTTCTAATAGAATTTAATAATGTGGATTAATGGATTAATTTATTTGGTCACTCTTTAAGAAAGCCATACTCTTACATAATTATTTTTGTTGATTCATCATTAATAAATTTTCATCTTATTAATCATGCTACTAATATTTAAGACTATTTAAAGAATTTAAAATATCAATTATTTCTTTAGCTGAATTAACTGAAAATAATGTTTTTGATGCTATATTTGAAAATACTATTTCCATGTCTTAATTCAATTAATTTAATCTTAAAACCATTAATCCTTCATGTGTAAATTACATCATTACATCCAGTATGTTTTAGTTTAAAATTTGATTTGGAAAAGAGTAATCAGGCATCAAAAAATGAGAAAATGGGTATTCTTTACTTTTTGGAGACAGTTTATCGGAATCTGACTATGAAGATGCCCGTTCTTTTCTATTTATTAATTAATCTGTATTCTAATTTCGTTATGAATCACTTAATTTATTTCTTGGTATTATCATTTTTTACATTCCGTTTGTGAAATTAATAACCAAAGAGAACAACAAATAAATTGCGCATTAATAAAAGGATATATCAATTTAAGATGTTTAAGATATGTAAACAATCTAAAAAAAACTTGATTAAAGCAATAAAACTAGCCAAAATAATCTACATCTAACAAAAAAATACTATGTTTGATATCTTTTAAAATCCTCAAATAGTTGTGTTGTGATAAAATGAACAATTATAACATATGCTGTACTTTCATTCTATGAATTTCTTTCATTTTGAATAACAAATAAACATAAGCTTAATTGTATTAATATTATGCTTCCAATGAATTGTGTTGGTTTATTTTTGGTCTAAAAAAAAAACAATAATAAAGCCAAAAGAGCTTAGATCACCATATATGCTAAATTCATATTTTCCCAAGATGTTAAATAGTAATAAATTGAAAACCCCAATCCATTAATTTAAAATAGGATCACTATCAATCTCGAAACAGGTTTCATTTATCAAATAATAAAATTATACAAAACCTTCATATTAAATAGCTTTAATTAATATACAAATAAGATGGTGGCCTTACGAAATTTAATTGAATCCAATTATCACACTTTGATAAAGCTTAATATCATATGAATTTCAATTATTTTCAAGAGAATTATATTTTGAAATGTAGTCATAAATTTTAAGGTTACTAAGAAAAATAGAGTATTATTGAACAAAATTAATAAGCATATTTTTAATAAATAGATAATACTTATATAGAAAAATGAATGAAAATAATAGGATTATATATTGTATGATCTGATAGTCTCATTGAGTTAGGTTAAAATATATTCTCTACTTCTAATAAAATATGTATTAATTAGATTAATTAGATAATAAGTTATAAAACAAAAAATTTTGTATTAAATTTTTATTTTTAATTTCTGACAAATCAAGATACTGGATTCATACATAAAAAAAAAATATTGTAAATTTCAAAGTTTTAATAGGACTTTTTTTACTATTGCCTTGTGCTTGATGTGACTGGTTTTTTATCTTATTTTTGAATTATAAATATAACATGTACTTTCTTTCCTTAAAAAGTTATTACTATTATTATTCAAAAAATATACCCTAAAATTCTAATGGCTTTAAGATATTCTTCATCTTATGTGTATTTGACTAAATGAAATAGATTTCTGAGCTGATTTACAAGTTCGCTCATGAACTAAAGAAATTGATTTCCTTTTTCTTCTCCAAGAATCTCATAAACAATTTTTTTTTATCTCAAAGCATATTAGACTATGGCTTTAGAGAAATTTTTTTATATATTAGTTGAGTCCACCAACAAATTAGGTTTTAAATTGCTCCCTTTATCATCAGATTAGATTTAAACTGAAGGTGTTTATATCTGTTCAGAGGTTTTCTCAAAATCAACAATAGAAACAGTCTTTTAAGGTTTAGTTTAAACTATATTTTCCTCTTGTTTTGTTTGATCATCTTTCTTCTTGATGATGAGAACAGGTTGAGCCTAAAATATTGAATATTATGGATAAAATGGATTTTAAACAGGATAATAGTACTAAGGAGGACATTATGGTATGTATTGTCTTTATGGAGTGTTCATGTAGTTCTAAAATATGTTCTGGTACATTAAATAATTATTGTTTTTTCAATTTTTTGTTTCACATTAAAATCCTAGTGAGAATACAACTTATATTTCAGAATGATTTGAATATCAGCCAATTATATTAAAGTGTTTATAGTGATTATAGAAATGGTGCGATAAGAAATTTTAACAGTTTTATATCGCATAGAATGTCATTAGGTATCAAGACAAGAGAATTTATTATGAATAAATTTCTAATTAACAAATTATTTTTAACTTTATGTACAAAAATTAGTTATAAAATATAATTTCTATTTTATCTGATAAAGTCACATTCACATTTTAAAATACTTTTCAAAGTCTTTATCAGTTTATGGACATACAGTATTACTTTTAATACATGTATGATGTGCAATTACAGCATTAGGATAAACAACAAACACCTAAAAATATATTAATATTTTTTACTTTTTCACCTATAGATCTACTACAAACAGCACATTTCTTTTCAGATGTAATTCTTACACTAGCTTATTTGGTACTAGCATTCAAACATTCAACATTTAATAAATCCATATCAGATAGATGAAATGCTGCTTTTGTTGATCTTTTCTAATGTAATGTATGACCTTATTTAAATTAAATATGTAATTACTTATTACACTATTTAAAAATTAAAATAATCCATCATCTTCACCTTAATCAGCTAATATCCAATTCTCTGGTATCATTTCTAATACTTCTAAAGCATTTAATTAAGAATGTGTTGCATATTTTTTAAGGAAATTGTTAATTGTAATCTAAATTCAAATCATAAATTATATTACTTTAACTTAAGTAAATGCATATTAAGCTTACTAATCATTTGATCTTTCTTTGTATTTACCTTCTAAAAAGAAATATAATTCTTTATACTATAAATTTATTTAATATTAATACCTTTTTGAATAATTTTGTTAATAAATTATCAGTGTATTCACAACAATATTTCTCAGCCCAATCATAATATCCAAGATTTAATAATTAACTTAATGCTTCTTCATGTCTTTTTTCTCTTCCATACAATAAGATTACTTCTCCAATCATCCATGAATCTTTTACTTTTTTTTCTAAAATACTAGAAGAATTATATTTAGCATTTGGGTTTTTCAAGAACTTTTTTAATGATTAATATATATCTCCTGCTATTTAATTCTTTTTCATATCAATTTAAGATGGTTACATATCCTTAGGAAATATATTAAATAAAGAATCTATATATGAATATGCTAATTAAGTATGAAATCTTTCTTCTTCTGTTTATTTTTCTAATACTAAAACTTCTAAATATTTCTCCTTTAATTTCCTTTTTAAATCTTATTCCATTTCTTATTCATCCAAGAATTTTAACATTTAATCTGGTGATATTATACTTTCACTAACATAGAATATTTATATTCCAGTTTTGATTTATTTCTTAAAAACCCACAAAATAAATTTAAATATTCTATTTTTATCTGGATTCTACTTAAGAATTCTTGTTGTTTCTTCACAAGCTTCTTATTAAACTTATTAATTTAATGAATCACCACCAATTGTTCTCCAAACTTCTAATGACAAATCAATTTTATTAAATGATTCATAAAATCTAGCTAAAATACCTTATTATTATTCAATAGCTTTATTATTTTAAAATATAGCTTATAATTCAGCATACATAGATAAACAATATATTTGATTACAAGATAAAAAACTTTTTAATTTTGATAATTATTAAGCTTCTAAATATGCCTTTATTAATGCAAAATCTATAAGTTCTAAAAGTTATTCACATGGTATAGCATGCCATTAATTTTAATTATATATTTATGTACTAGTTAATAAAGTTAATTTATCTTTCATAGAATATGCATATTAAGTTGAAGTTAAAATTGATCTTTTTTTCTCTAAAATTTCAATCAAGAAATCTCTTGCTTATAATTTCAATTCTTAACTCTTCTTTGGATCACCTTTATTGTATTCTGCTACATATTTATTAATAATTAATGATATAGTATTCTAAGATGGATTCTAATTAACTGATTCTAATTTCTCTACAGCATAATAATAATCTGGAAATAAACAAATAAAATCTCTTGGTTCAAAATTTGTCTATAATATATAATTTAATGAATTCTAAAACTACATTTATCTTATCAAAGCCCAACCACAATCCAATTTTAATTATTCTAATTATTAATTTTTTGATGCATCTGAATTTTAATTGTATTATTAAAATACTTGAAGTGCATCTTCCACTTTACCTTACTTAAGTAAATCCTAAATCTATTATTCAGGAGGTGTTTAATATAAGTATATAATCTAATAATATTGATACTCTTACTTCAGAAGAACTTCCATAAAATAAATGATTTGATGTTTAAGTAATACATTTTGCTGATGATGGTAATTATATATCACTCATTGGTTTAGAATCTAATAAATTGAATACTTGAATTAAATTATCAAAGAGTACTATTAAATATTACTTAAATATAGTTATTATTTATATTGATTTATTTTGTAATTAAATAGTACTTTTCTATTTCATTTAACCATCTTTACCAATAAAAATACCTATATTATTTGTTGTTATTATTAATATTTCATCATTATCAGTAGCCTTGATATATGGATTATTACCAATATCCATTATTAAATTTGCTACTTATAGTTATTTATCATCAAGATTTATCACAGAATAATTTTTCTTTGATATTCCAAAATAAAATAAGTTTCCTATAAATGATATTGTTACAGGGATGTCAGGCAATAAGAATCTCTCTCTCATACATTCAAATTTTCCTGCTTTCTAATTATATTATAAAATGAAGCCTTCTTTCTTCTTTGTTACTATTACAATCTCAAATTAATTTATTTTAGAAAATTCATTTAAGGCAAATAATGATACCTTTTCTTTTGATATTTATTCTCCTTTTAAAGTTTTCTCTTCAACAAAATATAAAGTCTAATCTGATAAAACTAAAAGATTAGCATTTGCTTAAGGAAAAACTTTTATTTAATCAATCCTCGATTTAGTTAAAGATTTTGATTATGCTTAATTAGCTTAAATAATCATGGCTTAATCAGGCTACAATTGATATCTAATTCAATTTAATAATTTACCTATTTAATGTGCCTTTCTCATCTCCAGTATATAAGACATTTTAATAAGCATCTATGGATGATATTTTGTAGTTTATCTCCAGAACACCTCTCGGATTAAATACACTTCCAAATTTCATTAATATATGTAATACTATATAGATTAATTTTATTTAATATATAATAAATCCATCATTGTTAAATAAGTTTGATGGAGTTAATAAAGTCATAAAAATATTGTAATTATATAGAATTTAAATTCTTTCACATATATTATAACTGGATTGCTTTTAAATAATTAGTATACGATATAATGATAAAATTGTATTAATAAATTTATGATTCATTATGTATATACATAATACTTTATTTAAAAAGTTGAATAATAATATATATTTTTAATTATTAAATATAAATATTTTTTTATGTTAGAAAAAAATACTTTATTTAAGAGACTAATTTTTTAGATTTAAATCAATTTTTCAAAATAATATTAATATTATATTTTCATATTTAATATATTCTGACTGTGTGATCATCACTACATGAAGCAAGCAAATTATTATTAAATTTAATTCTATTAATTGTTTTTGAATGTTAATGATATTTATCTACACTAGATAGTAAATTCAACTCTAGAGTTTATGTAAACTCAAATATTTCAAGTTATCCTTAACCATATGCTACAGCTACTATTTATTTGTTATCAAGATAAACAGAATCTATAGCAGTTATTTCATCTGGAAATTCTATTTCTTTAATTGGCAATAAAGCATCTGTAGTTTTATAAATTCTAAATTTTTTATCTCTACTTCCAGTAAATATTAGAGATTCATCATTATTGAATGAACAAGTATATATAATTCTTGAACAAGGTTATGACTTAGATAGTAATTAATAGTTATTATCATCTTATTTAACAAATACACCTAAACATCTGTCTTTACTAACACTAATCAAATATTTTCCACTATTAGAAAAGTTTAGTTAAACAATAGTGTAACTATGACAAGGTAATAATTATTTAATTTTGAATGTATTTGTATCCCAAATAATAATTTCTGCTGCTTTAGATGTAATGGCAACAGAAGATGAAGCAGCTATATTTTAATGAATAGCAATAGCTGAAATTGCATATCCATGTCCATATAATTTATTAGTTTCAGACCATAATGATTTCTTAGCCAATAGGGCATCATTTGGAGGTTATCCATATTTTACTTCAAGATTTATTTCTTCTTCATTATTTTTGACACTATTAAATATAAAATATACATTACTTTTCATCTTCTTCATCTTCAAATTACATTTATACATTCATTAATCCAAGTGCCTATTGAATTCCTTCAGTTGCTAATTTAAATTCATTAAATTGTCTATTATTATAATTAACAATTTATGAAGGTATATTTTAATTCAAAAAAACAGATGAGTCAATATTCTATTCATTTAAATAATTAAGTTAATTAATAGTAAAAGGAGAAGGATTAAACATTCTTAATATTTTTTCATCTCCTCCACTTATAATTTGATTTCCAATTTATTTAATAGCATTTAAATCATAACCATGAATTTATGGTCTAGATATTTCATGATATGTATCATTTTGAATCCATTTAGCAAATATTCTACTTGTTTAATCTATACTACAAGTTAATAAATAATCCTTAAAATCCAAATCTGTTACTTCTGCATAATGACCAGTTATTACAGGTTATTCTACCCAATTATCTTATTCTTATTTCCAAATATAAATTCCACCAGTTAAAGTATAACATATAATATATTGTTTATCAAATGATGTTTATAATCCAAATATCTAATTCTTATTTCCACTAGTCTATCCTAATCTTGAAACACTCAACCATAAACCTGTATCTTTATCTTGTTTCCAAATAATTACATTATAATCAAATGAACCA